GCTAGTAATAAATAAATAAATAAACCTTTCAATTTAACATCCCTTCTTTGATGTTTCTGTTTTCACTTAGCTTGAATATATTACATCAATTTGTTGTTCCCAATCTGAAGTTACTCCACGGCATTCAAGAGTAATTCAATATTGGGACTATGTTTAAATTTTAATATCTCTCATTATTATGAAAATTAATATAAATTGACTAAAATTACACCTTAAAGTACTTTTTAGGTACACTGTGTTAATCTGCATGTTAATTTCATCTGACTTTTCTCATTTGTTTTTCATTTGGATGTCAGATGCTCATAATTATATTTTTCCTTATCACATGCTTTCATGCTTTGTTCTTTCTTATTTGCCGTCATTCATTATTGCAGTAGAACCTACTATTTATTTCAGCTATTGTTTTGCCTGTTTTTCAATTGCTTTTTATTTTTATATGCATTTTGTGACTAACTAAAACTAATGTCCTTGTTACAAATTATTTTAAGATAACACTCGATTTGCTACTTGTATATATATGAAATATATAGATTGTAGGCAATTTTAGATTCTATTGAAACATTAGGAACAATTCGTTCTTTTGTCAATGCACTGTGTTCATATTAGTCTTGCTCAGCCATCCTTTAACATCTGCATTCAAAAGATTTTTTTTTGTTGTTAAAATCTTTAAAGCTCATTAAAACATTTTTTCATAAATATTTTGTAAGTTCTTTCTAAAGACAAGGTTAACATTTTTTCAGTCTTTGGTATGTAGGCTTCACATACAGAAATAAATAAAAACTACTGTATTTAATAGTAGGTACTTCCACAGAAATGTGATACCTAAGATTTAAAATGAATTTTTAAAAATGAAAAAAGTTTTTAAAGCTTTTATTTTAGTTTTAATTTCAAGCTAATAAATTTAATATTTCCAATAAGGAAAATATTTCTCTATTTCAAAACCAATTTAAATTGACTGGAAGGAGGTTTTCTTTTGTAATGTAATTCTCTGTTAAAAAGATCTTTCAAAAATAAAATATACATTTTTGAAACTTTGTTAGGATATTACTTTAAATTTAAAATATCACAGAAATGCATTTTTTTATCATAGCAGTAGCAGTTTGTTTAACCATTACTACACTGCAGGCCAAAATTGTCTCCCTTTGCTACACTAGGTACATTATTTCACCTTGAGATGGTTGCTATAAATAAACACTTGTCAACTGTTATTTCTGGTATTTTGAGCTGGAAATCACTTACTACTTCTTTGGAACAAAGTTAAACTTCTGTTTTCCAGTGCCATTTTGAATTCTTCTAGACTCTACACGAGGTGTAATAGGTGTTAATTTCTTTGATTTTTTTTTTTTTTTTTTTGTTAGCAAAAATGCCCACATCAATATCCAACAAAGCCTTTATTCTGGAGTTTTTCTTTGATTAGGAGTGGATATTGATGGTGAAGTGGTCGAAGATGATAACCATGCTAGTGACATTGGAGGAAAGCAATAATGACCATTAGTGGCTACTATCATCCATGGTTAACTAATTTTATGGATGCTACTGGCAACCATTGATATATCTGATAGCCTTTCTGAAGGTGAATTATTTTGTCTATTTATAAATGACAAAATAATAATTTTATTCATCAATAAGAACATGTCAACGAGAAAAATAAATATGAGTCGGTGAAAGAAAGAGAAAATAAATGCTAGTGTTTTCTCATATGGAAACATGTCACATTTTTGACAAAATGAAAGCCTTCTTAATGATTTTGCTTCTTATTTGCACCCTCAGAACTCCACAAGGAGTAATAAGTCAAAGTACATTGAATTATTTATGTATTTTTTAATGTATTTGTTTTTTATTTTGTTTTTCATTTCACATTTAAATCTTTTTGTTTTCAACGTCAAAACATGCATGCAAAATGTAATGCATTACATAATACATTACATCAAAATATCACTCATTCATTCTTTTATTAGTGTGCAAAAATTAAAATCTATATGCACAGTACAAAGAAAGTTATAACAATTTTAAAATAGTAGGTGTTCATATTTTTGCACCCTCAAAAAAATGCAGTGGCTGGTGGAAATTATTTTTTCTACAGAGGCCATATCTGTAAAACTTGAGGAATCACCTTTTTTATATAATTTTTAACTACCCAGTAATCTTTAAAATTTAGGAAAGTAGTCTAATATTTTATTGAATTTTAGGTACTTTGGCTTTAAATTTTTCACTCTTACTTGTTGATAATGTTGTGTATGGACAGCTGTATCTACAAAAATCAGCATGTTTATGCACGCAAAAAAAAAAAATCAAAATTCTTTGTAAAAATATTAGGATTGTTGGATTGTAGTAAACGTTTCAATTTATGATTAGTAAATATAGTTTTTACTTAATAACAATATCACTTAACCTGTATAGGTTAATACAGAAATTTAAAAGTATAAATTATTTTAATTAAAATTTTAAAAAAATTAAAAACAATTCTTGTAAAAATTCATTATTCATCAAAAAAAAATTTTTTCTTAAAGCAATATTGTCCATAATATATCTTATTCATAAAAGCAATTAAAAGCTTTTCTAATTAAATAATGTCTTAGTTTTATTGCATTTTTTTATTTTATGATTCAGAGCAGATTTTCAGTACAAAAAAATTGATTTGAATTCTCCAAGGTGTTCTGCTTTTAACTAATATAAAGTGATACAAAACTTAATTTCTCAATTTCATAAAATTATGTAAATAGGGTTAGGGTAGTGGGTAACAGATGTAAAAAATAAATAAATAAATAAATAAATAAAAATAAATTTTACTAAGATTTTCTAATAAAGAAAAGTTTCTAAAATAATTCATTTTGAAAGTTTTGTTAGAATCCAATTATTTAATTTTTGCAAAAATTTCCAAATTGATGTGTTTTTCACTGCAAAAAAAGTCGCTAGGATTTTACTATACTAATCTTTGGTTCCTTCACTGACGCAAGAAAAACGAGATATTTAACCAAAATTTTTAACATACTACAAAGTATCAGAAAATGTAATTTAATAATCAAAACCTCCTTTAGTTTTTTATCTTGAGAATAGCATAAAGATTTTGACAATAAAATTTCATTTTTAAGTTTTGAGGCATTTTTTTAGAGACTCTGGAGGTACCTATGTAAGACCTATAGAGATATTTTATGAACCCTTTTTAGATGTAAAAGGCTATGGATCTTATGCCATCAAATATGATAGTTCTAACTCATTTTTCTGAATATACACCAAAAACTTATTGATAAATGATAGAGCATGATAAAATTTTGTTTTTCTTGCATCAGCAGGTAACTATGAATTAGCATGGGAAATTTTAACATCTTTTTGCAGTGCAAAACACACTGATTTGAAAATTCTTGCAAAAATCAGATAATTGTTGGAATTTAATGAGACTTTCAAAACTTATTTACAAATGAATTGAATTATTTTAGAAAGTTTTGATATATATTTTTTAATTTTGTTTTCCCTCTACTTATTAAATTTTGAGAAATCCATTTTTGTGCCACTTAATGTTTATATTAGTTATAAGCACAAGTGTCACCTCTGTATTAAAAAATGCTTTTCTACGATGTTTTAAACTAAAAGTAATATTTGTTTCAAATCAAATTAAATTTTAAATAAGCTAATCTTCTTCAAATAAAGTTTCAGAAAATTTTTTTAAAGATATTTTAATAAACAGAATTACATTGTGTTGACAGATTTGTAAATATGGATAATTTCAGTTATTTTAGTGCTTTTGTTTTCTTTTTTGTTCAGGGGCTGGTTTAAGACTCTTCCAATCAAATTCAGTTTGAAATACAAAAAGTACTTTGCTTATTGGAAATATTAAATTTAATCTATTAGTTTCTTTGTAGGTACCTATATTTATATGACTTGAGAATTGTTTTTTTTTTTTTTTTTTCTCTGAGACTGTCTATTTTTATTTTCAAATTAAAATATATACAGCTATTGAAAAAATTGAATAAGAAAAAATTGTTATAAACTGATTGCTTAATTGTATTTACAGCATACATGCATACCAATCATACTTTAATGTCTGTGTTTGTTGATGGGATGTGTATTTTTTTTTTCATTTGAGATTGCAATGTGAGCATAATTACTGAAAGCAGATAGCTTGAGTTTCCTAGCAGCTGATGCTTCACTGTCACTAGGTGCCTTCCTACTAAAACTATTTTCTCTTAACTCTTTCTCTCTTTATAAAGTGGCTTGCTTGACTTCCCAGCTCCCCAAATCAGTAGCATTCTAATGCTTTTGCACTTCACCCCTGTTGTGTTAGTCTCATAGCAATTGAACAAATGTCATGTCAATGTCACCTTTTTCTTTCTTGTTTTTTTCGTATCATTTTGCATGCAGATACTTCAACAATTTATTTGCTTCTAATCAACTTTCATTAATAATAATTCAATAACAAACATTTTCGTATACAAAGTAAGAATTTTTTTCAGTAATATTATGTAATTGTCTTATGACTTACAGAGTATTTAGCAATTTTATAAGAAAATTGACCAATATTCAATTTCAGTTAATCTCTTTCAAAAACTCAAGGGAATTCATTATTTTTTTTCATTAGAAAAATAGTAATATTTATTTCACTAAAAATTTTGTAATGAGTTTTAAATTTTTAATTATTATTTTTTTTTATTAAGTCCATTTTGAATATTTTTAATTTTATATTAAAGGTGAATTCATTTTAAGCCAAGGGTATGTTAAAAATTACTATCCTTTTCAAGATTGAAGGCAATGTTATGTAAAATTTTGTTTCTAAAATGTTAATTTAATATTTTGTTGCATTGTTTATATTTTTCTATTAAGTTAATCTGTATTGAAGTTTGTTCTGAAAATAATTGGCATGTTTATTACTTTGTTCTGGAATCTGTTGGCTTTGTGATTTCATATCCCAATCCAACAGATGGCATTGGATAGGAGAATATTAGTCTTCTTTGTTCAGAGTGAAGAATAAAGTGTCCACAACATTCTATTATATTACTGGCTTATGGACATATCACATTGAAACACTGGCTCCTGTATGATCATCGAAGTTAAGCAACATTGAGCCTGGTCAATACTTAGATGAGTGATTGCTTGGGGATATCAGGTGCTGTAAGCTTGAATTTGCAGGTGGTACAATGGATAATTGCTAATTGGAGAACTGAGTTCCAATTCCAGTTGGGTTTGTTATATTCACTTATGTGCAAATATCCATGGGAAAGGTATGAATCCATCTCTTCTCCCTGCTAGCTATGGGTTAATAAGTAAGACTTATATCACTAAATCATTATCATCTCAAAAAAAAAAAAAAAATCTTACAATCTAGAAATATTTTCCAGCTTTAAATAATCTGTAAAGGGTTGATTAGCTGTAGAAAACAAATCAATCAACATTTCTCTATTATATTGCCCATTCTTTCTTTTCTTTTCTCCAGGTGTTTCCTCTCATTGCAGCTCAATTTCTTCACATCATCTAAAGTCTGCACTCTATCTAAAGCCTCCAGATTCATTGAAGGGAAATTCTTACCATTTTTCATGCTAACATGCTTGTGTTGCTCTGAGTAAGGTGCATATATGATATTTAACAATAATATGCTACTAGCATATTTATAGGGCCTATGCTCTTTCTATATATGCACACATCTACTTACAAAGAGAAATTTAATAGCTTCCTTGTATTACACAATTATACTCATTCTTGTGGCTTGTTTTGTTATGAGTAAAATGTAGGATTTAAATTTTTATTAATAATGACTGGTTAGCCATTTTTTTTTTTTTTTTTTTTTTTAGTTTGATATCCTATAATTTTGAAAATAAAAACAAAAAAGTTGTATGCATGGGAGAGAGCATGCCCTGTGCAAAAGTAAAATGCTAGTAGAATTATTTTGTTAAGTTTTATTTTATATTCATTAACATAATATGTCAATGAAAAAGGAGTCAAAAATATCATTCACACTTTCAGCTATCAGTTATTTTATTCGTGTTTATACTTTAAAATGTTTTTGTGTGCATCCATGTTGTAAATTGATGCACATATGCAGCATTTCACAAAGAATTTGCTGGTATACATTACTATTTGTAAACACTAGCCAAGTTTAAAATTTACTAATGATGTTTCTAAAAAAAAAAAATTTAGAATTTAGCCTTAATTTATCAGAGGCCACCAACATGGTTAGTGGCAAGAACATATAAAATTTCCAGTCTTTCTAGATTGGCTGAAATCATCTTCGAAGTAATCGAGAACCGTCTGTGTTACAAATGAAAGAAGTTTTCATCTATTTTTGAATGTCTACAGGGAAAATATAGATTTATTAAAGAAGGGAAAAAATTATTATTTATTTATTTTTTTTTTTTTTTTAATTTGGATTTGAAAAAATAAAACAACTACAAGAACATTTGTAAGCTATTGTCCCATCTGTAAAGGAGTCATGGTGGAGTAAAGGTAGGCACAGTGAAGTAATGGATAGTGGTTTGGATTGAGGAATCTGAGAGCTGAGTTTGAATTTTAGTTGAATCCATTACATTCACTTACATGCTAATACCCTTGGGAAAGGTATGAATCCTCTTCTTCTCCCCGCAGCTATGGGTAAATAGCAGGACAAACCGGGTTCTATAGCCTTGGATAGCAACTGGTCTACCGCAGAAAGAAATGGAAACCTATTGTGGGAAAAAAAATCTGCCTCATCAGTCATGTATCGAAAGATACATAATTGCATTAGTGTGTATCATGCATGGCACATAACTGATTGACTGTATCTTGAAAATTTCACAAATAGGAGACTTCAATGCAATTTCATTTCAGAAAACGAGTTTGCAGCTTCTATTACATTGATTGAATCAGTCACGTCTTTGTGTACATGCATTACCATCAAACCACCAAATTGCTATTTACCTATTGTTGATCAATAATATGTTTTAATTCTTTTAAGTGGTGAAAAAAGTTTTTCACTTTCAATATTTGTAGCAGGCACTAAGTGAACGAGTTTGATGAGCTTTAAGACTTCACTAATAATACTTCTTTGTGCTGCACTAAGCGATCTCATTTTTTTCAAATATTGTTGAAAGATTTGCATTTTCTCTATCAGTCTTCAATACATTTGGTCAAAGTTTGAGTCAGATGTTCAACAGGAACCTGTCAATATTCTACTTATACATTGAAACAGAACTTTTTTTAATTAATTTCCTATGTATCTTGTTTAGATCTTCTTCACCACGAAAAGCCTTCAAAAGAACATTTTGCATTGTTCAATATACTACAAAATCAGATTTATCAGACGTGTCAGTAATAGATTTTGTGACAAAATCATATGCTTTGATGAACTGTGTTCTGTACTTTTCTTTTGTGGAGGGAAAGTTCTGCTTATTTGCTTGCACTTAAGCCAAAGAAATCAGTCAGACATTTTGGATGTTTTTTTTTTTTTTTTTTTTTTTTTGCATCATTGATGTCAAGTTCTTCTATAGTTTTAGAAATGTATCCCCAAAAACAAATTGAATGATTTATCATTCCTTTCTTGCTGCAAACTTTGTATCATGACTTCAACTAACGGGTGGACTTCAACTACTGAAAGCTTGGGACATTGAATCATCTAAGATTGTCTGCATTAATATTTTCTCACCAAGTAGACAACCAAAAAGAAATGAAAACTTTCTCATGTTCGTCTGTGCACCAATGATTCTGCCTTTCATTTCAGTGTCTTTTGTGATCAAAAGACATTGCCCCCCATAATGCCATCAACTCATTATGATTGGAAATGATAGAAGAGAGAGTGGTCCCACACACTGTCCATTTTGTTGGGCAAAAGGCGTGGACACTCTTTTCTGCGTTTCTGCTTTCAAGTCTCAATTTTCTTGATTACATTTCTTTTCATGGAAATTTTTTCACAAACTTACAAACTTCCTCTGCAGTATCAAAAGTGTCTTTCAAACATTGAACCTTTGTACAGGTATCTTTGATGGATAGATTGAGTAGCAGTAGGTGTACAAACACATTGAGTGAAAAGATTTGATTTGAATAGTCACAGCAGATTCCTCTTTTGCCATTACTGTAGCATCATAACATTGTTTTCTTGCATCTTATAGTAAGCATGTCCTTTATTACTCGCATGGTACATCACTCCATGGGTTTCATGGCAACATTCTTCTCAAGCCACCAAGATATTCTTGTCATTCCATCCTATGCATATCACTACATGCTCTTGATTCAATATGTCTACTGTTTCATCGACCACAATTGTAAAATATTTGACCAATTGTATTTGTCTAGAGATATCATAAAGGATCCCAGGTGTTGTTACCTCAACCATCTCATTTTGAATTTCAGGGCTGGTATATTTCTGTTCTTCGACTCCACTAATTACTTAGCATTTTGTCATCTTAGTAAAAGCAGCTGGCAAAAGTTAGAATCAACTTTGCTTTCTGATTGCTTTGAAGTAACAGTGACTGTCAAGCTAGGTATCTAAATATTTGTGAGAATCTTTAACAACATCTGGCAGTTGTGACTTTGTTTCATGGCAGCCTCAGATGAGATCATGTTTACAACATTGTTTGCTTTGGCAATTGTAATAATACTATAACATTCCCTGGCTTCTTTATGAGCATTTGAGGTTTAGTGTGTTTCAAACACTTTTTATTTTTCACAGGCCTTCCTCCAATTAGAAAATCCTGTCTTTGTAAAGGAATCTCCTTGGAGCAAGGACTGAACTGAGAGCAATTTAGCTTCTGCAGCTTTTTGGCAGATAAAACAAAATGTGGAGTTTATTTCTTTGTCATCATGTAACCAGAGGTAACTCTCAAACCAATTGGATTGAAAAAAAATCTTTCTTGACCTTTTGGTCCACACTTTGGAAAGTCTTTTTTCCTTGGTTGCTTTGGAGTACTTATACTACAAATATTTAGGATAACATTTTTCATGTGATTTACTTCTGATGACTTTACTGAGATTTCTGGTGATCCAGGACATAGAGAGGTGGATATCAATTGGAGTTGCTCACTGAAAGTAATAGATTTGTGGCATCATAAAAAGGGTTGCTTACATTAAAATTTTTAAAAAATGAGTTGTTTTGAAGCAATCACCAATTTATAGTACTAAATTAAGCATAGCAGAGTAGAAAAACTTACAATACTTGTGTAAATTTTAATTTTACTTTGAGAAACTTGATTTTATCCGCAAAAATATGGATTGGCAAAAATTCTGATATAAAAGTTATTTTCTTATATTGAGTAGAAACAAAAATATAAGCATTTTAAATATTTGTTTTCAGTACCCCCAAAAGTTTGTGATACCTAAAATTTGAAATCTTTTTTGAAGCTTTTATCTTAGTTTTAATTTCAAGTTAATACATTAAATTTAATATTTCCACTAATCAAAATACCTGAAAACAACTTCTTTAAAAAGGCTGAAAGTAGTTTTGTTTTGTTTTTTTTCTAAAAATTTGAATTTATCGCCTTTTTTAGTTCACATTTAACAGTAATTCTCTTTAGTCTTTATTAAAAAAATTCTTCCAAGAATAAAATATATTTTCCTGAAACTTTGTTTGAGGAATATTAGCTAATTTAAAGTATAATTAATTTGATTTGAAACAATTATTTTACTTTAAGTATAAAATATTGTAGAAATGCAATAGCTGTTTATTTAATGAGGTAACATTCTGACAGCATGATGAATGATCTAAAAAAGTAAAACTTCTGATTTACTTAAGTCTTGTGTCATTATTATTGGTCCTAGTGGGACCCCATTGCCTTTTCAGTAGCTTTTTTCTTAATTTCTCTTGATTAATCATTTTGCTACTTTCGGTTATTTCAACTGGTAACATGAGTTGATATTCTATAGAATATTGTGGAATTGGTTATTAGAAATCTTTGGAAATAGAAATGAATCAACATTTTTTTTTTTTTTTTTTTTTTTTAGTTTCTTATGATATTTTAGATATGAACCTAATTGTTTTCTTAAAGTGTTTTGTTATATATAAATCTTGTGCTGTAAAAAAAAAAAATTCATTTTGAGCATGTGTCAGTAACATTTTATTTTTTAATATTACACTTATGCACAGGAAAAAAGAAATAACTGTTTTTGCAATATTTTGTTCTAAGGGTGTAATGAAAATATTACTGCATTAAAGAATGTCTTAACATTTTTTCATATTTAATTTTCCTTTATTAAAGTTGGGTTACTCTCACATTGAACACTCTTCAAATGTAGATCAAATGCAGTATTTTCTCATCAAACACAAGTATATTTTTATTAGTACTTATTATTTTGACATACTCAAGTAATAAAATTTATATTTACAGGATCAGTAGTGAGTTTGAAAGAATGTGTATTTTATTTTTTTTACTGACATTGTTATTAAATTTATTTTTTATTTGCAGTGATTTGAAATTGAGTGATGAATGCCTTGCACGTCAGCCAGATGAAGTGTTTGATATTATTTGCAAGATTGGTCGAGGGTAAGTTAATCAAGTATCAAAAACAAATATTCAACATTCAGCTTTAATGTTTTTTTTTTTTTTAATGTTCTTATTTGCATTACTTTCAGAATATTAAAAAAAAAAGAAAAAAACTTTAGTACCTTAAAAATATATATTCAATATTTTTCTCTGGTTGTAATGAAATCATGCCAAAAACAGTCTTGTTTGCAAATACTATTATTTATTATTATTTTCTAAATACTCTTTGATTCTAATCACACCAACTAAAAAGCATATTTCCATCATCTGTGCTTGTGGTTGGATAAAAGAATACTTCAACTTTAACTACATATTAATATTGAAGTGTTTTTTTCTCACTATTTCACACAAAAATGTATTATGATTATATAGAAGCTTTAGAAAATAGATTTCAATAACCCTCTGAATACTGAATTAATTATACCGCCAAGAATAAATTTACAACACCCTGAATGTTTCAATTTACTCTATTAAATATACAGCTAATCTTGCTAGATTACAATAAATGATCACAGGTCCCAAAATAAGTGATGTATCGACAGTACACAAATGCCATATTAATACACTGAATATGCAAATTTTAGTTCTAAGTATGACTATAAACTACATCCGGCAACAAGGCCTCTGGTCGGGAGGTTTTGAGGAGCTTGGACCCAGCTCTTAATTGCTGTTGTTCCCAGGTCCATCCTGACCAGGGGTGGTAATACCTGTTAGGGTTCCAAATATTGGCAAATAGTGACACCCCTCTAAACAAAACTAAAACACTATGAAAGTATAAAAAAGCATTTTTATAGTAAAAATACCAGCAATACATTTTTATATAAAAAAAATTACCACAATATCTATTTATAGTAAAATTACCAACAATACATCAATAAACATGAAAGAACTTTTTCATGACATCAATCCATATAATATCCTATAATTTCTTAAAGAAATCAAACTGTATTTCAAAATATTACTTCAACAAAACTACAGCATAAAACACATATCACTGCCACTAGTAATTATGTTCACACAAATGTCTATGCACAAAGGCTGAGTATCATCTACCATGTATTCAGTTGTGAAAGCAGAATAACATATCATATTTTTATTACTTCAAAGCTCCCAAGAAAATTAAATTTTGTCATTAAATGACCCATAAAGAGTTGATATGCCATTAAACAAATCAATCAAATCATTAAATATCAAAAATTACTCAAGATTAAACTACAGTACAGTTAATATAACTGGATTACAGTAAATGATCACATATGTGGATCAATATGTGCACATCTTCCAAAATAAGGACTGTATCAGCAATACTCAGACACCATATTAAAAACACTGTATACCTTTTCAGGGCATTAACACCGACTTATACTCTTGCCTGCATATAATCATACAAATAGCAAATATCCTCCAGTGATATATTATTCCATATCTCTTGGATCTGTAGAAGCAATATAAGAAGAATTGGAGGTGGGCTAACTGGATGTTAGATTTCATTCAATATGTTTAACACATTGACTGCCAACCATAAATTGTAGTTGCCAGTTTTATTATGATGCCAACTATGAGTTATCTTGTACTTGGCATTTCATCTGTGGGCGCTAACAAGTTTATTTGAAATGATACTTTTAGTGTGAAAACAATGTTAAGACTTGAATTGAACCTGTAAATGAAATGATAAAAAGTTTTTATTGCTTAAGTTGGCTATTATAATGTAAGTGTTTAAAGTCAGATTTCATAATTGACCTCTAGCAACCATCATTAATGGGCAGAATGGCTGAGTGATCATACAGGCTAGAGAAATTGTTGGATATTTTGCAGATCATGTTATCATGGACATCATGTGGGAGAGTATTATTCTGCTGGAACAGAACGCTATCATTCCGTTGTAGGGATTTTTTAATTTTTTTTAATTTTTTTTATTTTATTTTTTTTATTTTTTTTAATCATTTCACCTCCAAGCAAGGCAAAGAAGCCACTAAGACTGGAGGTTACAAAGTGTGAAAGAATATAAGAAAAAGATATACATTGAGGAGAAATAACAATAAAAGGACAGGAATCAAGAAGGCAGAAGATAATGATTAACATTGCATTTAAATTTTTGAAGATCAAACTTGATTGGAAAGCAAGAAGCCAGAAGATAGTTCCACAAGCAAGAAGTGCAAGAAAAGAAGTTGTTAGCATAGATCTTATGGTCACATCTAATCATTTCAACTGTAAAGTGATGAGACCTTGCAGCCAATCTAATACTGCACTTAAATTTGTAAAGTCCAGGTACCAAAGAGGAAAGTTAATCAGAACATTTACCATGAAAATATTTATATACGGGTGCAGGGAAGCTATATTATGGTGGTGGGAAAGTGACTGAAGCCAAGATGCTAAGTCAGGACAAACAACATTATAGATTCTTCTTTGGGTTTTATCAAGGATGTTTAAATATATAGCAGGAGTACCAGACCATATGTGGCAGTAATATTCAAGACCTAGGTGAATGGCAGACTTATAAATATGTAAAGTAGACAAATTTTCTCACCTGGGTCTATCACGATACAGGGAACCAACTTTTTTAGCAGCAGACCTAGCAACTGACTCAATATAATCTCTCCATTTCATGTCAGTGGGAAACTTTAGTCCAAGAAGGTGCAATGAGTCATTCTCCTGAAGGTTAACATCAGCCATGCTAATGGAAGGCTGAAAGGGTTCTCTCAGATGATTAATACAGAGCAGTTTTGTTTTGGCAGTGTTAAAATTAACAAACCATTCCTTGCTCCAGTTAACAACAGATTGTAGGTCATTTTTGGGATCATTTGCTAATTTTACCTTATTGAACTGATCAGACTTGTTATTAAGACAGGAGTAAATAGTTGTCATAAGCATAGATACTGAGTTGAGAACTGGTGACATCAGGAAGGCCATTGATGAAAATTAGGAACAATGTAGGTCCAAGGATAGAGCCCTAGGGGTCACCTGCATTAATGCAAGAGTGGCCAGACAAGACAACTTCCAATTTGTGATTTGAACCAGTTTAAAAATTTGTCCAGAAATACCATAACCTTTCAACTTGTGAAGAAGACCAGTATGCCAAACTGTCAAATTTATTTCACATTAAGTTAATGCTTGCTAATGGTCTATGTTGATGCTTCTGTAGGATGTCAGCAGTCTGCCACTGATGTCCTTACAATATATCCATCCTGGCCAGCCTCTTTACTATGTGGTCTCTGAATATAGGAATTTTCATTTGATTACTATTGCCAACATCAAAACACAACCATCATGTCATATCCATTTTGTGTAGCAATTCTCTAAAAAGACCAGGTTTCTTTAAAGCCCACAACCCAACACCTCTCAAATAACTCAAATTAAACAAAATGACTTTGACACTTGTCATCTGCTTTTATATGTCATGTTCTTTCAAGATGTGGGCAATCATAACTGTCCACGACTTCCTTTACTTCTCTCTTTGTCTTTGTGTTCCTTGTTTTGTCATCCACTTACTCAGGTTCATCAATTAGGTTATTTCTTGCTTGTCATGCCATGTGATTTTTAAATTCTCTAAGCCTTCTTTTCTCATTAAGTCCCCCCCCAAAAAAAAATTTGCTTTCTGATTATTAACAGCAGTTTCTTTGTAGTTTCTCTTCCCCTTAAAACTTCCTCATTTGAGACATGCTTTGTCCTTGGTATTCTCAGCATCCATCAGTAGAGCCACATCTCTATTGATTCATGCTGTGATGAAATTCTCCAAAATTCACTGATATATAGAACATTAGATATTCCATAACATTCTATCTCTCTTTTCCTTGTTTGTAAGGACATTTTGATCCCTTAATACTCTGCTCAGTTTCTGAGGTGAATCTTTCATTATTGCTATGCATCTTTAAACTGAACCTTCTTGCAACATGCGCTATTGTTTAAAGCTCAGACACGGACTGTGTGCTGGTATGAGTGTTACTACATTCTGAGATAGACACTTTGGAAATTTTATCAGAATATCTACTATCTATGTATGCTGTACCCAGGGAGCACACACTGACATGATCAGTAGTTGAATAAAGCAAGTATTCTCAAATACTCAGTAATAATAACTTGACTTTGATAGTAAAGTCATCAGTGGCTTCTGTACAGTTTTGTCTACCCAATTTTCACAGTGCTGCATGTTGGGATCATCTTCCAAAGTTGATATTATCAAGAAATTACTTCTTTAGTTAATGAACCTTAGTGAGATTTGAACCTGAGTCTCATGGTCAGAACACTAACTATTCAGCCACAACTTGTAACATTTAGTCTTATTAATATGTATTATAGTTATGGAAGTTGCATCAAAAAATAAGTTAATCCTATCCAGTTGTACCATTTTTTTAAAATCTCCTTTTTATATCTCCTAATAATGAGCTTAAGCAGCTAATTCTACCTCTGATCTGATAGTTAAAAAGACAGTGTGAAAATTTATTTGTAGATATTTAATCTTTATTTGAATAGCCACAGCAACAATTCTGTTCAGTCTAATTTTGTATCATTATTGACAAGAGTTGGAACCATGTTGTTTGCATTAGTAATTGGTATTTTGGTATGTACTATTATTAAGATCAGAAAAAATCAATTTATTGATATTTTTATTTGCTACTTAGTTTTTCTTTTGATTTTTGTTAAGAACATTTACATTTCTTCAGTTTCTCAAACTCCTTGAGGCAAAAAATAAAGTTTTGCTAATTAAGCAGATCTAATCTATCAATACTCAAACATTGTCATATTCTAGAAAAACAACCTTTTAATAAAGTTTTAAGAAATATTATAATTGAATTTTACTTACATTACTAACAAAAGATTTAAAAAGTTCATGTTGCCTTCTCACTAAATGTTTAATATTTTTGTTAGTTTTAATTTTACTTCATCTGAATCTGGTTGGTTAATATTGGAAATAATTCAAGGTTTTTATTTGGCATTGGGTTTTCCCTTCTCCTTTTTTTACCCCATGGGATTATTCTAATTATATAAATTATCTGATCACAAAGAGGCTTTTTGTAGTTATAATTTAATATATTAACATATTGACTGCCAACCATGAGATAACTTGTAGTTGGTGTTGTAATAACAACTGTTAACCACGAGTTATCTCATACCTGGTATTTTCTAATACATTTACATCTGCAGGTAACAACAAGTTTATTCGCAGTGATACTTTTAGGGTGAAAGCTATAAATTAATTCATAAATTTTTTTTTTATTGCCAAAGTTGGCTATTATGAAGTAGGTGTTTGAAGTCGGATTTCGTAATTGACCTCTGGCAGTCAGCATGTCAAAGTAGCAGGTAAAGAGACCTAGCTTTTCTCAAAATTTGATCTTTTGGTGTCAAGTTTGTTCCTTAACATGTTTACTACCATGCAATGCATATGTGCATCTTGTCTTGTATTAGCATCTTGTACCCCCTATATGTCATATGACACTACAAAGGAAAAATCAAAGCTGGTCCCTAGGACATGCATTAGTGTCATTCTTTCTAGTTTATTTTCATTTTATTTGGCAGAACAACATAAGTACTCTAACATAGCAATTTCTTAAGGTAGTTTTAATAAAAAACATAGATGGCATTATGTAAAGATTCAAATACCAAAGTTAACAGTGAAATATATTTAGCTAGCTGTACAATTCAAATATCTTGGGAAAATATTTGTATTTGAAGCTTTGTTGAATATTACAGAGCCCTTGTAGATATTGATTGAACAAACATTTTATATCTTTAAAATTGCAATAATCACTCAGTTTTTTTTTTCTTTTAACTCAATCTGCTAATCTTAAAGTGTTTTTAAATGTTTATTGTTTATATGTAAGGAGATGTCAAACAAAGAAAACCTTTTTATTTTTTATTGACAATCTATTTCACCTTTGTTAGGTAGGTGTCTTCAGGTCAGATAACAAAGGTGAAATGCATTGTCGATAAAAATGTTTTCCATGTCTGATTTCTCCACTTTTGTTTGAATTCTCTATCCTACTAACATGCATGTAAGGAGGTATAAATAATGTTATTTTATGTAAGCCTGACAAACAAGAATATTTCTACAACTCATTTGTCAATGAGAAGGAATTGATTCAAAGCAGTTTATACTTCTTTAACACATTGGCTCCTAAGCCTCATTTCCCTTGTTGTCCCAGGGTCCCAACATTATATATTTGGTACAAGTAACTTTTAACATTGTTTCATATATGAGGCAAGGATATCATATGTAGTATTTATTACCCACTGATTTGTCATTTGGTACCCAAGTCCATTTTACAATCCAGTGTCCCATGAAACCTACCTGTGGATTGTTGGAAAATTCCCAATATACAAGTATTACACTAAGTCTCATTTTCTAAATGCAAAAATTAAAAAAAAAAATTTTTTGTTGGGGGATGTGGCTCTGGTGTACCATGATCTCATAAGCAATCAATCATAGCATCCAATTCCCAATAATCGTCATAAAAGAGAAATTGGAAAACAATCCACTGAAGGGTAGCGAGGGCCTTGCAGACATACCAGCACGACTCTCCAGTGGGTAATGTGGGGGCTAGCATGTTAAACTGCTTAGGGTTTGTTTTTTTTTGTATTTTTTTTTTTTAAATCATAATCTTTGATGTAACCAAAATTTGGCTAACACTCTGATTGCTATACATTTGCAGATTGTATTTCAGTTTTGTATATTAAAGGCTATATTTGGTCTCCTTCTCTTGTCAGATCCTATGGCAGTGTCTACAAAGCTTTACACAAGGAATCTGGATCAGTCTTGGCAATCAAACAAGTGCCAGTTGATACAGATCTCCAAGAAATCATTAAGGAGATATCAATTATGCAGCAATGTGACAGTCCATACATTGTGAAGTATTATGGCAGCTATTTTAAGAACACAGATCTTTGGGTTTGTATTTTTTTAATTTCACTTTCTCTTGTAATCTACAATTAGAAAATGTAATACCTATATATATATATATACACACACACACACTTGTGGAGTGAGTAACTATGGTTAAGTGTAAAATAATTGACAAAACTGTTCAACAAACAGAATTGACAAAATTTGCAACAAGAAGAAAAGAACAAGGCAAATTATATATGCATGCCAAATTAACAGTAATATGGAGTTGACCCACAAAAGCAAGACCAGACAAGTGAATGTAGTGTTCTGTCTTCAAGACAGGCTGGGACTGAGTCAGATGAAACTGAGACTGGCCTATTTTATTGGCTCGGAAAAAAAGTCCCAGCATGTATTTGTGTACTTCTGCTTATAAATTGGAGAGGGGAAAGTGTTTTGCGTTCATTCCTACGCTAGATTGGAACCAACAATACTTTTTATGTGTAACACATTTCACAGTATGTGCAGGTACTACAGTTTGTAGACAGAAGTACTGGAGAGTAACTTTTTTGTTTCGGAGCAGTGCACAGATACTAAATCCTGATTCTCAGCAGAAACCAAGAGACTGACACTGATCAAAAGCAGACAGCACATTCTAACATTGAGATCTTAAGTAGAATTACTAATCCATATGTAAAGAATCAAGTAATGTTTTATGAATAATGTGCTAGTTTATTAAAAAGGATAAAATGATTCAAGATCCACAAACATCTTAATTTAAAGTTATTTTTATTTTGAAACCTTGCTAAGAACTTCACAAGAGCCTTTCCAAGAAGTACAGCCTTTTAGAAATTAATTTTAATTTTGGATTAGGCTTTTTTGTACATTTTCCTGACAAACCCAGCATTGTTATCTTAAATTTTACTTTCTAAACCTTGTAAAATATTATTTACATGCAGCCTATTGTCCTCATCTTTGTTGTTTGTTACTAGCACATTTTAGCCATTGTGCTCTCCAGCCTTCATCAGGTGCTTGTCAATCTGGGTAAACCTTCAAGGAGTTTTAAAATGAACCCTTTATTTAATCTAAAGCAGTAGATTGTTTTCATTCTGTTGACCATATCTAGAGATATCTCGTTTAGTTTTTACTTAGTATTGCTCAGTTATAGTTCACCCTGTTAGCCTGTCAGCAGGCAATAAGGGCTTAAAGCTCAAAGTTCTCCTCTTGGAATTGTACCATGGTGGATTAAAGCATTGGTTTGTGAATTTGGTGACATAGTAATTGTGAGTTCAGTCCCTGGGCTGGGCAGTCTTAGTTGGATTGTGTAGAAATGGAGTGAGCAATAAGTGAGCAGTACTAAATAAGAACTAGACAAGATATCCCTAGACATGGTCAGTGTAACAAGAACAATCTACTCACTTGTAGGTTAAAGGATTCAGTATAAAATTCCCTGAAGGTTACCTTTATCGACACAGATCTAATTGATAAGAACAAAGATAAGGACAATAGCCCACATGTAAATAACAGAACTCCTCACCCCAGAAATTCAGGTAGAAAAATTTTAATTATCTAGTTTTAATTTTTCAATAAAAAAAGAAAAGAAAAAAAAGTTTTCTGCCTAAATAATTTCCTCTAATAATCATATGAATACAATGAGCATCTTTTTGACATATGATAGTAGTTGACTGGCAGTAAAAATAAATAATAATGTGTGTCTATGTAATCAGTTATGCTGAAGGTATTATTCTTGGCTGGTTAATAAAATCATATGGGAATCAAACAAAGATCATAAACTAGTTTCATGTACAATTATTAAGAATATTATATTGGAATTACAATACCACTGATTACAATGGCTTTTTTGAACACAAGCTAATGAAAACAGAATTAAAAAGAACTTCCTTAGGGTATTTTTTTAGTGTTAATTCAACTCTTACAGCTATTGCTGCTGCTTGAAGATACTGGAACTCTGTGTTCAAGACTAAACTTTTACATGCAGAAGTTTCCAAAATGTTATTGCAAGCAATGTAGGAATTTTTTTTTCAGCTCTCAATGTTATCTTAAAATAGAAAACCTGTTCTATTGACCTGTATCCCAAATCAACAATACCACAGAAATTCAAAGATCATTCTGTAATATCTTATTGGTCAATGCCAACCAACCAACCAACATTTGCCTGAAAGTCAGGTGTCAATGCAGACTTCTCTCCCCCATTTCACTGGCTCCAGCTGTCAATCAGTCTATGATTATTGCTAAATTGCTAGTATTTGGATGGCATTTCTTAATGAAATTGAAATTATAGTAGATTCTCTTTCCAGGGAAATTTTTTATCTTGTTTTATCACCTTCGGTATAAGTTGGAAATTTTATAATCCCTGTTTACACAAATAAAGACTAGAAGAGCTGTGTCACTGATGCCTTTTAAGAACCAGTCTCCACTTCATTTGTTTGCTATGTTTCTAAATCTTGAGTATTTTTGGCAAGGTGATCATTGAAATATTAAATAAATAGTACTAAAAACGTTCATTATTTTGTAGCTTTAATTTGATTAATGTTTTTGATTCTTTTCTCCTTTAGATTGTTATGGAATATTGTGGTGCAGGTTCAGTCTCAGATATTATGAGATTACGAAATAAAACTGTAAGTATTTTTTTTCTTTTTTCCATTATTCTCATATTTCATGAATCAATAAAAAATATATCTAATTGTCCTTGTAAGTTTGTCAGTAGCAATGAAAGAATAGTCTTTTTGACAATGAAATCATTTCTCATAATTTTACTATTGCCACTTGTTAAATTGTCACAAAATGCATTTCATTTACAGATTAGTAAAAAATAACATGTTCATTTATAATTGCATTAGACCAATGGTTTCTACCTATTGGAAATAAAGCAAGGCAATATTTTTGTTGTATGTTGGATTAAATTTTCAAACCATTTGGAGGTACCAATCGTCTGTTTTAATTTGCTCTTGTCCAGAGCTGGGAATAGTTAAAATGTTCTAAGAATTTTGGTCAGTTTATTTTAAAAGTATACCTCACAGCCATAGCAAAATGAACACCTGAATGATTAACATAATTTTCACATGACCGAATTCAATTTTTATATTTAAGTTTTAACAATTAAAAGATTGAAAAAAATATTTCAGTATAGCCTCTTAAAACTCGTATATTATTAGGGCAAAGTGATGTGGTTTTGGTTAGAAGCGGCCTACGTGTGATGTAGCATTGAAAAAATTATTTTCAAAAGATAATTTCTTGTACATTTAGAAAACTTTGTCATAACATTTGTTAAATTACAACAGATAAACAGTCAAATTTGTATTCAAGAAAATTTGCTAGAACAAATATATGGATAAATTTCTTTTTCTATTCTAATTGTGATAAATCATCATTAATTAAACTTTTCTCGATTCTAAATATTTTTTTTTCTCAGCTAAATGAACTTGAAATCGCCACAATATTATCCTACACATTGAAAGGACTGGAATATTTGCATTCTCGGCGAAAAATCCATCGTGATATTAAAGCTGGTAATATACTCCTGAATAATGAAGGCCAAGCCAAACTAGCTGATTTTGGTGTTGCAGGACAACTGACTGTAAGTATTAAGGCTTATTTCTTATTCTAAGAAAAGCTCTCTAAAGGGAGATGGCAAGAATTTGTACTTAACAAATTAACATTTTTGGAGGTTGAAATACTATACAGAATTAGTACCTAATCCACTGATTAATTAACAGTAGCTTCTAATACAAATCGTGTAACTGTTTATATAATGTCTTTACAGTAGGGGTCTTAAATGTAAAGACTAAACTCCTTAACAGGCTGCACAGTACTGTCTCTTGCAATGACTTTTTGCATTAACTTGATTTAAAAAAAAAACAAAAAACATTATCAATAATCTGGACAAAGCTTGTTTTTAACAAATGAGCAGTGCATTAATTAATGGATTATATCAATAAAAGTAATGTTATTAAACAGCTGTTTTTTTTTTCTTTATTTTATAAAAGAGATAATACAAATGTTAGTAAATCAATCTGTTATTTGAATAAAGGCTATAGTGTATGTATGTATGTGTATATATATATATATATATATATATATATATATATATATATATATATATATATACACATTATTTGGTAGGCATGGTGAATGTTATGCATGCAATAGGCCTCATGTAAAAATGAAACTTTTTTTTTTTTTAATTATTTCATCACAAGCAAGCAAGGAAATGAAGAACTAAAATGCAAGGCTTACTGAGTGTGAGATAATATGAAAAAAAGAAAACCTTATTAAGGAGAAAGAACAATAAAATAATAGGAATTAAAAAGACAGAAGATAACAATTGACATTGATCTTCAAAAATTTAAATGCAAAGTTGACTGGAAAGCAAGAGGCCAAAAGAAAGTTCCACAAGTGAGAAGTGAAACTAAGAAAAACTTAGTTTCAGAAATAAAATAATCAGCACAGGGCAGGCTGGGGATTGTAACATTGACTTAACCTTTGAACTATCCAGTAGGATCAAGTAATACCCATCATTTTCCAATCACCTCTGATAAATTGATAAATGGGTTTACACCTATAGTATGGACCATAAGTTTCATTATCAAAACAAAGCTGTTCAACTTGTGGAAAGAACCCCTCAGAGATTAAGAATACTATTGTAATTAAAAAGAATCCAAAATGTCCTTTTGGTTAACTATCATTTGTCTCCACATACCTAAAAATAGACAAAACATTTTCCAAGGAGAGCTGATAATGAAGCTGCATATTGATTAGAAGAAAGGATTTGTTCATCAAAATTACTATCTGGTCTGTCAGAAAAGTGGATAATAATCAGTTGTGCAATGTAAGTTAATAATTAATGATCACTAGGGTTTGATACATTTAGGACCACTGACCAACTAATATCAGGCTACTTTCTGGTTTTCCATGCATTGGTGTAACAAAGCTCTTCATTTAAATATAATGAGTTGAATTTCTACAAGAATAGAATTATCAGCCATTTGAAATCATATGAGGTGTCAGAAAAGAAACAGAACTGAAGTCACAAAAAATTTATATCAAATCCAAACTACAAGTTTTCCCCTTCAAAATTATTCCCCCCTCCCTCCCCTCAAGTCTAACACATTTTCCCCATCCTTCTGGGATTATCTGCAGCTCTGTCATCACCGCCCTCTTGATGGGTTCCATGTCCAGAAAACTGGTCCTCTTTATGACCGCCTTGATCTTGGAGAAATGGAAAAAAAATCACAAGGAGCTAGGTCAGATGAGTAGGGAGATTGCTCCAGCACGGTGATGTTCTCTGTAAGAAACTACCAGATGCTCAGAACATTGTGAAGCAGCCACGAGTTGTCCTGCCACAACTTTTGCCTTTTCTTGCACACCGAACAAAGCAAATGCCACAGGATATCTTTGCAGACATGCTGGTGGATCATCTGGCCCTACAGCAAGAATTTTATGTGACTTGACTTTTGACTTTGACTGTCATGCTTTCTTTGGACTTGGTGGCTCCAGGCTCTTCCAATGAAGGCTCTGGCACTTGGTCTCTTGTTTGTAGACAAAAATCCATGACCCATCACTAATAATGAGTCTCCCTAGCAAGCCAGGTTTGGTTTCAAGATGCTTGAGGATGTCCTGACATAGCTGCATACCTTCTGGTCATCATTTATCAGCTTCCACACCATCTTTGTGCAGATCATCCGCATGCCCAAATCTTCGGTAATAATCTTCCAGCCACTGTCGCGGTTCACTTGTGATCAGTCGAAACAGTCAGTCATCAATCACCATGCACCCCCTTACCTCATGCATTCAGCATTGGCCTCAGTTCAACTTGTTGAAGAAACTTCCGCTCATGGGATTGTTTCCACATCCTCGCATTCCCCCTTTGAACCTCTTGTGCCACTTGAAAACCCAGGAGTGTGACATTGTCTCTTCTCCATACACTTACTACAGTATTCCAAGTACTTCTGACAGTTTTCCTCAGCTGGACCAGAAACTTTAGGTTGGTTTGTTGCTCTGTGCCCATTGCTTGACAGCCTAAAATTGAGGAGCTTTTAATAAAAGCATGTGAAAAAAATTATATGGCTGCAGAGAGCTGAAATCACAGTTATATACTTCCTGGACATTACGTCACACATTGATACAACCTGCTAATTCCTGACCCTGCTCATGTCTCACACTAAGTCCTGTTACTTTTCTGACACACCTTGTAAAACTTGCTAGAAATTTAGGAACTGCTTGGCATTGAAACTCTAATACAAACATTTCAGAGTTTTTGGGTGTCAATCTTAGGACAGTGCAGAGGATTTGGAAAGAGTTGAATGAGTCTAATGGTGATTACGAAGGTACAGCAGCTCAGAAAACTCACCCTGATTGTTCTGATAAGAAAAGCAATCCAAAATTAGTTTGTGAGAGCCTCAGACTCAACACTGATACCTACATCAGGTGCCTTGAGGGAGGTAGTACTGCCCTGGGTTAAGTGGGTGGCTGCTGGAAGACCCTATATCTGGCAACAAGAGGACTTTGCACCATGCCACACAAGGAGGAGAACCCAGATATGGCTGTCAGACAATTTCTGCAACCACATTGCCCCTTACATCTGACCAACTAACTCCCCAGACTGCAACCCCACTTGATTATTATGTTTGGGTACAGTTGAGTGAGAGACCCACAAAACTCCTAACAGCAATGATGAACTGAAAGCAAGGATTATGACAGCATTCACCAACTTAAACAAGGAGACTGTTCAGAAGAGTTGCAGGAGATTCCAAAGTCGTCTGAAGGCCATGGTTGAAGCCAATAGCAATTTTATTGAATAAATTGACTCTAGTATTTCAAGATATTTTTTTGTAATTTTGGTAAATATATCTTAAAATGAGATGTCAGTGTTATTTACATTTTTGCATAATTTAGACGATATCCATCGCACCCTGTAGTTCAGGGTTAAAAAAAGGTCACTTTTACCTCTTGAGAGAGGGAGAGGAACACCAGTAAACAAAATGTGTTGGCTGGAGTGGGAGTTTGAGACAGAGGAAGGGGTAAGAAAGAAATAGGATTGAAGAGAAGTAGGTTGAAGTGTATCAAGGAATGAGAAATAGTGGAGGATCATGTAGAAGAAAATTAGTGTTCAGCTTTCAAAAGTGAGTGAAGGTTCTAGTATAGGTACCTTAAAAAAATCATACCTAAGGTTTAGAATAAATTTTTAAAAAGAAAAAATCTTTCTTAAGGCTTTTATTTTAGTTTTAATTTCAAGCTAATAGATTAAATTTAATATTTCCAATGAACAAAATACTTTGCTATATTTCATTGCAATATAATTCTCTTTATTAAAAAATCTTCCAGAAATAAAATGTACTTTTCTTAAACTTTATTTGAGGAATATTAACTTATTTAAAGTATAATTAATCTGATTTGAAACAAATATTATTTACTTTAAGTTTAAAATAACACAGAAATGCATTTTTAAAACAGTGGTTTTGTTTTTAATTGACAGTACCCATGTTTACTTGATTGATGAGTAATGAAAAGTGATGAAAAGGTGTTGACAGGTTTATTGTTCAACCCCCTATTATTTTTCAGTTATGAAAATGCATTTTAACCTTAGGCATACTGAATTATTGGAGGTACCTATTTTTTAAACTTAAAGTAAATAATATTTGTTTCAAATCAGATTAATTATACATTAAATCTGCTGCTACTCCTCAAATAAAGTTTCAGAAAAGTATATTTTATTTCTGGAAGACTTTTTTAATAAAGCGCATTACATTGTGATGAAAGACTACTAAAAAAATGGGTGCAAATCCACTATTTAAACAAAAAAACAAATTACAATCAATTTAAACTCGTTTTTGAAATATAGCATAGTATTTTGCTTATTGGAAATATTAAATTTAATATAGTAAATTGAAATTAAGACTAAAATAAAAGCTTCTAGAAAAATTTTTCTTTTTTAAAAATTCATTTTAAACCTTGGGTATTGCGTTTTCTGTGGAGGCATCTATATTTATATTAGGTATAAGCAGAAGTCATGAGAAAATTTAAATCCTCAATTATTTTATTTTATTTTTTTTTCTTGTTAAACAGGAGCCCCTGTTAGAGAAAATCTGCTCTGAATCATAAAATAAAACGTTATTTAATTGGAAAAGCTTTTAATTGCTTTTATGAATAAGATATATTATGAGCACTATTGTTAAAAAAATTTTTTTTTTTTTTTATTAATAATAAATTTTTATCAGATTTGTTTCATTTTTTTTTTTTTTTTTTTTTTTTTTAATTATTAGAATAATTTATAATAAAGTTTTAAATCTGATAATTTTGTATTAATTTGTAGTAGTTAGGTGATATTGTTAAGTAAAAAAAAAAAAAACTATATTTTACTAATCATAAATGGAAAAGCTTACTACAATTCAGTGAGCTCGCACCCAAGTATTTTAAAAAGCATTTTGAATTTATTTTGTGTAAATAAATGTGTTGATTTTGTACAGACGTCCATACATGGAAATAAGAGTGGTAACTATAGTAAATTTAAAGCCAAAGTACTTAAAATTCAACAAAGCATTAGATTACTTAGAATATTTTCTTAAATTTTTAAGATACTTGGTAGTTAAAAAAAAAATGTAATAAAGGTGCTCATATTATATTCATCAAGTAATTTTTACATATATGTCTCACATAGAAAAACAATTCCAAACATAAGTTATCAAGATAGTTGTCAACACCACCATGTTAAAAAATGCTTTTCTGTTAGTAATATTTATTTCAAATCATATTAATTAAACTTTAAATTAGCTAATCTTCCTCAAATAAAGTTTCAGAAAAGCATTTTTTTATTTTTGTAAGTTTTTTTTTTTTTTTTAATAAAAGAATCACAGTGTGCTGAAAGAATTGCAAATAATCAGCTATTTTTAGCTATTTCAAGAAAAGAGCTCCTTCCAATTCATTTAAATTAGTTTTGAAATACAGCAAAATATTTTGCTGATTGGAAATATTAGTTTTAATCTATTAAAATTAAAATAAAAGCTTCAAGAAATATTTTTTATTTTTAAAAATTCATTTTAACCCTTAGGTATTGGCTGTCTTTGGCAGCACCTTTCTAAAAATAATATATCCAAGGACTGTAAGCTTTTCACATTTATGAGAAAATTGGTGTTGTACAATAAGCATGGCAATAAATATAAACTTCTTTTTTTTCTTTTCTTTCTAATTCATTGTAACTTGATGTTCTATAGGAGCCAAAACAAAATATGTTTAAAGAATGTGATTTCTTAAAATTTATCAAAAATGAAAAAAAATTTGAATTTTATCTTTGAACTTTGTTATGGGGAATATATATATTCCTATCAATTAAGCATTTTTATTTAAAAAAAAAAAAAAAAAAATGTGTTTTAAGAAATATTTCAACAACTGTATCTGTTACTATAAAACTGCATTTGTTTACTTGTATACATCTTTTGGTCATCCAAGGAACTGGAGGCTGAAAAATTAGTATATAATAAAGATAAAAATGGGATAGGTAACATTGACTCTGTTGGAACCTAGGGAAGGTTACTGAATAGAATAATCAAGCGAAGGTTGGTAATGAATGATAATACTTAGGACACGAACAACACATATAAGATTCGCCAGTGGCGCGTAGAAGAAATAGTCAACTTCTAGAAGTGAGTCAAGTGAATTCCAGAATAAATCTCCAACTGCAGACCAACATACAGTATTTACTACTGTATTTATGTGAATGGGGACATACCCATTATCATCTGTCCTTTGTTGTTGCCACAGGTCAGTTTTTTCTTAGAGCCAAAACTGCAAAAAGGGACATATTTTTATGAGATTGCAGAAACCTGAAGCACCTTAATTGTAGATGTCTATGTAAACATTTATTTAATTTCTAGTAAAAAATTCCATGCAAAGTGCCGGTTAAACAGTGACTGAGATAATTTGCTTTAACAACTACTCTTGGGAAATGTATGAATAGAAATAAATGATGTAACTGACATTGAAAAACGTTCTTGAGTAAAAAGTATTCCCATGCTGTAATTATGTAAATTTAGATGGTAAAAAATCCCCCCCACCCCCCAAAATGTTTTAAAATTGTTTGTTTCTTTTTGAAAATTTTTATAAAAATAAAATAGAACTATTTTTTTAATTTGGCAAACATTGAGAAATGTGCCCGCAATAAGATGTCGTGTCAAAGGGTGGTTTTCCCATGACACTACTTTTTTAAATACCTTCACTCTCCATCAATATTTATTGTTTTAAAAAGCGATGATTAGAATTGACATAATGAAAGTGAATTTAAGCAATTTTTTTTGTTCTTGACCATTGATAACAAAAATAATAAACATTATTTATTATCTAATAAATGTTTATTATTTTTGTTATCAATTCTCAAGAACAAAAAATTGCTTAAATTCACTTCCATTATTTTTTTATTTACAAGGATAATTTTATATTTACAACATTGTAAAAACTAATACAATTAAAAGTAATACATTGCAATATTTATAATTTACCAATTTATAAAGAAATAAATATGAAAACAATTTTTTATTCATAAATTTATAAACATTTACTAAATCATTTGGACCAAATATAAGGAAATCCTAATTTTTTACCATTTTATATGTTCGAATCATTTGGCAATTAGCCAATGTTTTGCCAACCATTCCAATAAACAATATAATAAATAGTGTAAAACATGTAAAAATGTCTTATTGTGGGCACATTTCTCCATATTTGCCCTTAAATTCTTGGAAGCAACACCTTTAATAGAATCACCTTTCCTGAATCTTTTTTAAAGCAATTGATACAAAGTGTAATGAATTATTGTGGCTGTATTCATTTTAGATATATTTTTTTTTAGTTTTTGAATAAAAAAATAAATGCATTAAATCTCAGTCAAAATTTTCACTATTTAAAACATCTTTCCTCATGTCTTCAGTTATGTTTCTATAAATCAGTTGCTTATCTTGATCAAATTGCCCATTCACTGAAATATTAGGTTTGGAAAATAATGTCTGATTTTAGACTAAACTTGTATTCTAATATTATAATAGTTGCACAAATATATGTTACTCATTCCTAATGATTAAAGCGTCCTTTGTAGGAGTTGAAGCTTGGTCATAATTCTTTTCAAGCTATTGCCAACATTAACAGCGCATGGGGTAAACGATCCATTTGTGATCAGACAGTGCTGGTTTCTGAAGTTTCAAAGATCAAGGTGGGAGAAGACTTTAATCTGCAATTGACAATCAATATCTGAAAAAGCTAGTCAAACAAAATACACTTCAAAGTGTCAAAGAAATATCTCAGATAATGTGTATCAGAATTTCAACAATATCAGACCATCTTGAGAAAATTGGTAAAGTGAAGAAACTCAATAAATGGGTTCCATATGAAGTCAATGAAAGTTAAACATATCAAAATGTATTTGATATTACAAAATTTGAATAATCCATTTTTTGATTCAATAGTGACTTGTGATGAGAAATGTATCCTTTATGGCAATTGTAAATTGTAAATGGCTTGATCATAACAAAGGTACCACAAACTTTCTGAAACCAAACAGAAGACTATTGTGACTGTCTGGTGATCTGCCATTGGTATTATACATTACAGTTTTCTAACCAGAGCATCACTGTTAAATTTTACTGCCAGCAATTGGATGAAATGCATGTTCAATTAAGCAAAATGTAACCATCACTGATTAATTGAAGAGGTTCAATTCTGTTTCATGACAATGCTCAGTCACATGTTGCTAAGATAACACTGCAGAAGCTCACCTACTTGAGATATGATACTTTGATACATATTTCTCTGATTTCTTTCCCACTGATTACCACTTTTTCAAGATCTTGACAATTTTTTTTAAGCCAAGAGATTCTTTTTTGCAAAGAAAATGCAGAAACTGTATTCAAATTTCTTGGTATTGAAACCTTTAGAGTTTTATTGTAAAGGCATAAATAATCTTGTAACTTGATGGCAGAAATAAATGTTCAGGGTTCCTATTTTGACTGATTTAAATACTATATAAATACATTCATTCAGGAATAAAAAATTGATTCTAAAATCTGGCAGTATTTTTGTCCAAATAACCTAATATATGACATAATCATTATATTTAAATCTTATTTCATCACAATCTTTAACCCTAGCCAACAATGTTTCTTAAAACAGAAAATGCATTGAGAATGGCAATAACTGGGACAGGTAGCAGATCTGTCTAGTTGCTAAAATTTCTTTCCGTTACCAATGAGTTGAAGTCCAGATCATGATGTGCTGAAAACAAAGTTGTACAAACGAACTAGTAGAGGAATGTGAATATGCAGGGGTGGCAGGCTAAACATTTCCCTATTAAGGTTGGCTGCAGAATATACTTCTTGCTTGTTGGGATGGCTGGGATTCACTGGAATTGAACAGAAAAAAGCAACAACTGGAAACGTGAGCCATTTGATCTGGCTCAAAAGAAATGATGCAAGTTGTCTAGAGAAATTATCCATGAAAGAATGCATAGTAGTCAACAGGTAGTAAACCAGTTGAATCTGGTGGTGAGGCCTCATATTGGTGAAGTGGGTGCAGAGTGAAATCCTTTAAGAGACGGACCCCAAAACAGTTCTTTCTCTTCTGGTGACCCCAAGAACCTTTTAATATCCAGTGCATTTAGCATTTGATGGCAGCACTTGCAGTAAGAACCTGTTTTTAAATTCCTATTGTAAATTTTATATATAGTATGATGGGTAAAGGCCCTTTTGATATGAAATCCTTTTCTTTGTTTTGCAAGTATAGTTTTTATAAGCAACATCAACTAATTCTATTTGCTGTCTGTCTGTAACCCCAACACCTGAGATGAATTTGCAAGAATTACACTTGTTAAAGCTAAAGACCAATATTAAATAAATGATATTATGAATTTGAACTTTGTCTTATTAAAAAAAAAAAAAAAAAAAAAAAAAAACTCTCTCTAAATCTGTGTGTCTACGCTTTAGTTTGCAATAGTAATTGATTGTGTATTAGGATATATGAATCCCTGGATAATTACCTGTTCTCAGTGTTGCAATGGTAAAATAACTCTGAAAGATACACTTGAATGAACAGGGAACATCTGCAGCCTGAACTTAGCAGTTTTGCCATGGTTATTTTCATAGCTAATAGGAATGAAGCACAAGATATCAGTTACGAATCTGTAATGTGGTATCCGTTAAAAGCTTAGTCACTTTTTTTGTAATTAATATTTTTCTTTTCCAATGCTCAATGGAAGTAATGATGAAAATCAATCTTGTATGTTTATTGCTGATTGTTGTTTATTGTAGGACACCATGGCAAAGAGAAATACTGTAATTGGCACTCCCTACTGGATGGCACCAGAAGTCATACAAGAAATAGGATATGATTGTGTGGCTGATATATGGAGTTTAGGTTTGTATACTTGAAATTTATTTATTTTTCATTTTATTTATTTATTTTTTGCTTCCAAAAAGGTTATTTTTATAGTCTTCAGGATTTTGTAAACTTAAGTTGACTACTTTTGTTGGATACACATGGATAATTAAACTATAGAATGAGGATAGACATCTGCAATGAAAAATATTCAGATTCCTAATTTGATCAAATCTGCAAACATTCTAGATATAATCCTATTTGTCTGGGAAAATCATTTTACTTCTGAGTCACTTTCAATTCAAAATTATAAAAATAACATGTGAAATTGTTTTCTGAGATTATATACTCCTTTGTTCAAATTATTGTTATTTTAATCTTGATTGTTATAATCACATTTTGAAAATTTTACCATCTGGTCTTGTTCAGTTTCCTGTTGTACTTGATTTTTTTTTTTTTTTTTTTTTTTTTAAATTTTGGAGTAAACCTTTTTCTTCAGCTTATGGAAATACTGTTCTCATTCCACTGTCCATGCTAGGGGAGATAATATGTATTTGTCTATTCTCCTATCCTTGTGTTGTTGTTTCTGCTTGTTCCACTGCCTAATCCAAAGATTGAACTGTGGACCAACAGATATGCTGTCAATATTTAATTAGTGCATATATACACAAAGGCATTGTACTCTAGGACAATCAAAAGGTGTAATTTCAATTAAAAAAAAAAACAAAAAACAAACTAATACTTGGGTCAAAGTTCCAAAATGAGAAGGAATTGAGTAATATATGATATCCTCAAGCCTGGACAGTGGACAAGGAACCATCAATCCCAACACCCCCACTAGATTGAATAAACAGTTGACTTCAAAATTCCTAAAATATTTCTGAAGAAGAATGACCAAAACATAGGGGCAATAACAATGAAGCCTTGTTCAGTTAAAATAAATTCAAGACAGATCTTAATAAACTTGTAAAATGTAATGGAAAAGGGCCCTGAACATTTTGGGTCTCTTTTTTTCTTTTTTTTTTAACTTTATTATATTAATTAAAAACAATTGGAATTGTACAAAGTAAATCCTTGGCAAAGCATGAAGATGCTTCTCTCATACCCATACTTGTGTGTTAAAGGTGATTGTCCATTGAAGTATCTTTGGTGTAACCTAAGATGATTGTTTAAATTGTGCTATGTTTTGATATTTATTCAACTTAGTATGGCACAAGGCTAAATGGAGGTGACACATTATATTATGTCATTCTATCAAGTGGAAAGGTCCTCCCTAAAAAAAAAAAATCATTTGTAATGATTTTTATTTTTTTTATCATTTCATCCCAAGCAAGTCAATAAGAGCTACTAGGATGCAAGGGGTTAGTGAGAGTGAAAGAAACAAGGCAATAAAAAGAACAGGATTCAAGGGGACAGAAGATAATGATTGATATTGCATTTTTAAGTTTTTGAAGATCATATTTGACAGGAAAACTGAGCCAGAAGAGTTTCACAGGCAAGAAGTGTAAGAGAAGAAACTGTTAGCAAGAACTTGTAGTTACAACTAGCAATTTCAACAGTGAAATTATGTGACCTAATTCCCAATCTAGAACTGTGCTTAAATTTGTGAACTTGAGGTACCAACGAGGAAAGCTCATCATGGAAGCCAAGATGCCAGGTTAGGTCTGATAACATTGCCAACTCTTCTTTTGATTTTATCAAGAATCTCTAGATATAAAACGGAATCACCAAATTTAATGTGGCAGCAGTATTCAGTGCATGGACAAATGGTAGACTTATAAATGTGTCAGATAAATTCTGGCAAGAAAAATTGTCTAGCACAACATAGTGAACTGACTTCGCTAATCCTCAATTACACACAATTCTGAGGCTTGAATTCTTGAGGCTGATAATCTAAGAACTTGGATAGAAGCATAAATGCAAATCTATTTTAAATTGCAATAAATATTTGCATCTCAAACATTATTAGACAAATAGAATATGTACCATATAAATAAGGAAGAGTTATTTTTCTGAAAATATGACAAAAATAATATAATATTGAAAATATATTTTTGGTATTGAACACCCTAAATTGCACACACTGACCTTTTTGAATTGATGTAGAAATCCTATTTTGATATGAAATAGAAACAATAAAATGAGAAATAACAGATGTTATTTGATAATTATCAAATATTTGTGTTGCAGAAAATATTTGATAATTATCAAATATTTGTGTTATAGAAAATATAAATTATAAAAAATTGAATTATAAAATAATTTTGAAACACCTTGTAAAATTTAATTTGCACATATGGAGAAAATAAATGAATGTTGGATTAGATAAATTGATTTTTATTTATTTTTAAAAGACACAAATATATTCTAGTAAATGAAATCTTGGTTCTCTTTTCCTCTAAACATCTGCCCACAGATATACAGTGTTTGTATGTATATTCTAAATAATATCAGCTTGGGAACATGTCATGATATAAATAAAAATAAAAAATATAAAAAAGAAAAGTCACTATATATTTAAAAAGATTTATACCCATGTTGACTTTAGAAAAACAAAGAAAATTTATTCAATAAAAACTGCCCCCTAGCCTTGAGAATGTAGCTTCAATAGTGACTATGTGTCCAGATCAGGTGGTTCTTATTCATGTTGACCATCATGTTCTCAGTTAATCAATAGTATTGTTCTCTCTCTTGTTGATGCTCCAGACATTGTAGCAGAAGGGATTAAAATCAGTAAAATTAGGGGGCCATGTGTTTGGGGTGATGTAATTGTGAAAATTCTTAGCCATCTACTCCTACATTATATAAGACATGTGTGAGGGACCAGTCTTGATGGCATATATACCATAATGTCTACCATCTCAATATAGGTGAAGGCATTGATCCTGAGGGCTTACAGGAAGAGCAGTAGCATAACCTGATCCTTGTTACTTACAATCTCCAGAACCATCATTGTGAGTACCTCTGTTCTCTGCAGAAACACCTACTATTCTTCTTGTTCACCTTCTGGTCTTGATTGACATTGTTATTGAAGAAGAACCATAACATAACAAAGATGACAACCCTCAGGTTGCTCAAAGCAAATGTTTCAGTCAGATCAAACAGTTCTTTTGGGTTTTGTCAAGCATCAACTATTCTCTGTAAGTCATATAGGACCTGTATCAAATCTCCGTATGCACCACATGTCTGATAGTGGATTCTACTACACTCATTTGCTTGCTAGGGTTGATGATATTCTGGCTCTGTTGGAGGGACTCTTTATGATGCTTAATTACCTAGAATGTTTCTCTTGGTCATGAATTATACTTTCTCACTAGAGGCTTTCAGCTCATTCCTAACCTTGAATACAATTTCAAGACACTGGCTATCTCCAAATTGATGTTGCGCACTCATGCCACAAGAATGGGGTACTTTTTAATTACCCCTGCCAAATTAGAAGCTGCCATGTTAATGCATTTGTTACATCTAAAAGAAAAACTAGAATGTTAACATTAGTTGCATATATTACATCATTTGCTACCATTTATAGCCTGCTGAAGATACCTGTTACACATTGTGTAATTTCTTAAATCTTCATAAAGGAGAATAATTTTCTCTATTGTTGCGAGGACAGTTGTTTAGCAGCAAGGACCAGTGAAGTAAAAAAAAAAATTTTATATGTTCTTTTATTTTGTTATTTAATGTTTTTAAAAAAATTGATTGATCTTGTTTTTATTGTACAGGTATCACTGCATTAGAAATGGCAGAAGGAAAGCCTCCATATGGAGATATACATCCTATGAGGGTAAGTACACGCCCCCCCCCATTTATTTTAAATAGTGTATAACAAAGAAGCAGTTACCATTAATTTATAAACACAGGAAAAACCCAGAAAATAAGTTATCTGCTTTGATGTCAGCGGTCAAAGTTTGTTATCTACTGCAGAAGCTCAAAATATGACTGCTTAGCATCATATATTTTTCTAATGTACTGTTCTTTGTAGACACTCAAAGCATTCAACAAAACTGTCCTAAATCTACATATTCTTTGAAATATATCATATTTTTCTGCAATATTTGCTGCGCTGTCAGTCATACAAAAATTTCAGTTATATTTTAGGTCTAGCAACACTTAAAAATCATCATTCTTATTTTACTTAAAGTATTTTTCCAGTGCTTCAAGTTATCTAGTAAATATTTATATCTGTAAGAATTAACACCTGTAGAGGGTCAGTTATCATCTTCAATATATTTGCTAAAATCAGTCCTAAAAAAAAAAATTTAAAAAATGACATTTATTTTTCTTTCCTAGTGTTAAAATGTTTTCATGTATTTTAATATTTTTTTCTTACTATTGAGTTGGTGCATAATTATCAGGCGTTTTTAAACAATATTTATTAGGAAAGAAGAAGCATAACAATTTAACAATAACCTTTTTAAATGATTATTCCAGTGTTTATGATTTTTCACACAAATTTTTATAACCTGAAAATAAAACATCTTTATTTAAAAAAGTAAACAAAACAGAAAATTTTATTAACAAATAACTTGCCTACAAAAACGCCTGATAATTATGCATCAACTCAATATTAGAAAACTTGAACATAGTTTTGTATGAATGTTGTTATTAAATTAATGTCTTTTTAGGTAATTGATTCATTCCTTATAAAATCAAGGCATTTTATACAATATTATGGGCAACAAGCTTTTTGATTTGAAATGAATAACTTAAAGAAAACAGATTTAGGAATCTTTTGTGAGAAACAATATATTTTTCAGTATTTACAATTCAAATTTTTTCTTTATCCAAGATATAAAATATTCCAAAATTTGTTTCAGAATATTTTTGGATCAAAATATAAATGATCTTAGTTTAATCCATTTGGATCTAACCATTTACACTATCCCTGGACATTTTGGGTAATTTTCACTCCTCAAAACTGCTAGCACTATCAACAACATAATCCCTATTCGTTTGGGCCTTTGCTCTATCCACATCATCATCATCATCATCATTGACACTGCTACTAATCACCAATGTCTGTACACAGTGATTCAAAATCACTATTGGAAAAATCTTGTCATCAGATGTGATCATATTAGATAACTTCTTCAGTACTCATGAAACTTATCTACCTACTTTAAACTCCTGAAGAGCTGGGTTGATCAATATCTCAATCTATCTATAAACAGAAAAACATTTTGAATTATATACAGAAATATAGGCAAACTTGGACCTTTGTATTTGCAAAAAAAAACTGTGTCAAAAGGATGGTTTTTCTATTGACACTGCAATTATTTTAACTAACTACACTCCTTAGCAATGCTTATTGTTTTAAAAAGTAATGATTAAAATTGTAATAAAACATCAACATATGATGAAAGTGAATTTATACATTTTTTGTTCTTGAGAATTGATAACACAAATAATAAACACTTTTTATCAGATTGTTTATTTACACTATTTATTAGATTGTTTATTTACACTATTTATTAGATTGTTTATTTACACTATTTATTAGATTGTTTATTTACACTATTTATTAGATTGTTTATTTACACTATTTATTAGATTGTTTATTTACACTATTTATTAGATTGTTTATTTTACACTATTTATTAGATTGTTTATTTATTAGATTGTTTATTTACACTATTTATTAGATTGTTTATTTACACTATTTATTAGATTGTTTATTTACACTATTTATTAGATTGTTTATTGCAATGGTTGGCAAAACATTGGCTAATTGCCAATCAATTCAAACTTTATAAAATGGTAAATAAAAGGATTTCTTTATAGTTGGTTCATATATTTTAATAATCTAGTAAATGTTTATAAATTTATGAATAAAAACATTTCATATTTATTTTTTTTTTAAATTGATAAATGATGTGTTACATTAGTTTTAATTGTATTGGTTATTAGATTGTTGTAAATATAAAATTAGTCTTGTGTTTAATATTTTAGTTGTAAATTCTCAAGAACAAAAAGTGTATAAATTCACTTTCATCATATGTTTAAGTTTTATTCCAATTCTAATCATCGCTTTTTAAAACAGTAGACATTGCCGAGGATGTAAGGCAGTCAAAATAATAGCAGTGTCAATAGAAAAATACATCCTTTTGTCACTTTTTTTTTTTTTTTTTGTGACACAAAGGTCCAAGTTTGCTGAAATATGTAAATAACGTGTATGGCCATTAGATTTAATCTATTCTTAATTTGTTCTAATTCATACCCTTGAGTTATGTGCTATTATTGGTTTACATGATTAAAATATAAAATGAACAATCTTGACTGTTCTGAAAACCCTCAAAACTGAGGCCATGATTTCATTTTTTTTTTTTTTTCATTATTTATTCCCCTTTCGATTTGGTTAGCTAAGAGACAATATATTTTGTGCTGGCTTTATCGAACATGTATCTTTATTTGTAGAGTGTAAGATAGATTCTTTATTTAGTATTTAATAAAGGTTGACTTGAAGTTAAGATTTTATTTTCTTCAAAAGATTTTCGAAAAGTTACTGAATTAAGAAGTGATATTTTACATTCTTCTTCCTAACAAAGAACTTCCCCTGAAATATGCTGACCAAAATTTTGATTCAAAGCAGCCTGTTAACCTATTTTCTCTCTCTTTGTTGAGGCAATAAATTGAGACAAACGACACCAGCTATTTGCTAAAGTGAAATGCCTAAAAGAAAAATAAACAATTACACGCTGAACAAACACGAGTGTCACAATGCAAAAATGATAACAATATAAATTTAAAAAATAAAATTAAAAACTGTTAATTAATTATAAACTAAAAATACTTTCTTGTTTAAACTTGTCAAATCTTCTCAAATTGCAAATTTTTTTTTGCTTCAGGCCATCTTTATGATTCCTACAAAGCCCCCACCATCATTCCGTAATCCTGATAAATGGTCACCAGAATTTATAGATTTTGTTTCTAAGTGTTTGGTAAAAAATCCAGAACAAAGAGCCATGGCAAGTGATCTCTTAGAGGTAAGTATGATTTTTGCTAATTGCTTACATGTTCTTTCTAGAATTCTTCACCTATCTTCTTACAAATGAAGGTTGAAATATCATGTGGCTATATATGAGCAAAAAACATTTTGCTGTCATTTTACAATTTAATTACAAAAATGGAGATAAATTTAATATATTCATTACTTTTATTATTATTTTTTATTAAATTAAAATTTGGAAATAATATATGGTATTACATGATCATAAACAATTAAATTTACTAAAAAAATGAAAGTTCTTATAGTGTTTGTATGTGTAAAAATTATTTTATTCAATTGAAAAAAAATCAAACAATTCAGTACCAAATAAAATATACTGCAAAAAAAAAATCCCCCTCACTCCCAAAGTTCATTCAGTGCAAAGCTCAATCGCCGCTTAATGTAGAGTTTTACTGAATGAGGTGTTCGATATGAATGTATGAAATTAAGGGGGATAGATAACCTTGACTGGTAGTTTATTCAATAAACATTGAAGCTTGTTTATTAAGAGTTGACTTCTTAGCACATGTAACTGATAACTGAGAGAAAACATCTTGATGGTAACATGCATCTTATGTGAAGAAAGTGTGTGCTTGAGATATTGTTGAAATATTTTTCCCCCTTTATTTGCAGCATGAATTTATCAAAAATTGTGATCCATGCACCATTCTTCAAAAGATGATTCAAGAGGCTCGTGAAATCCAGGAGTCTCAAACTTCACATACACCCAATGGTGATGAATCGGTAAGATTTATCTGTTGCATTTTATTCTATTCTTAATACATTAAGTTCGACAATTTGCTTTATTATTTTCTTGTATAGTTTTATAGTGAAAAAAAAATCCCACTTGCCAAAATCTGAATAAATAACCAAACAATAGAATTATATTTGGAATCCCTTCTTGGTTAGGTGGATGTATGGGTGGTGTAATGGATATCAGGTCAGAACGAGAAATTGAAGAACTGAGTTTGAATTTCAGTTGGGTTCATTACATTCACTTATGCACAAATTTATTTGGGAAGATATGAATCAACCTCTCTTTCTCTCCACCCCTACCCCCAGTTATGAGTTGAATAGTTGGACTTGTATTAGAAAAAAAAACATTATCCTCAAAACAAAAAAAAATGTTAATGCAATATTAACTTGCAAAAAAACTCTTTTTACAATCCAAAATGTGCTTCGGCCTTAAATAACCTACAAGCCATAAAAAAACAAATCAATCTCTTTCATCCCCCCCAGCCCTCACACCTAAAGTCCCACTCATGGAGGTGTCTCATTTTCATATTTTAAGTAATTTTTTTTTTATAAATAAATTACTATCAATTCCTTATTTATCTTAGGTTCCCAACATTCCCACACCACTCTGCCCAATAGATGCCACTACTTCCTACACTTTATCTTAAGAATTGATTAATACTTTCTTGTATCTTATTGTTGTTAAACATTAGCAAATTAAATTTTGTATTTATTTTTATGTTACTTACATTAATGACATTATATCTTCAAAGGGTAAAAATGCAAAATAATACCAAAGGTGCGTATACAAAACAAAAGGTTAACATGGGTACATTTCAGTGATTATTTTAATTGTGGTAGCAAACATTTTAAGTTTCTTTTTGGAATAAATATTCACAAATATTGATGAGGAGTTCTGTATGTGCCTTTTTCTTTGAAAAAAAAAATCATTATTTGTTTTCAATATTTGATATCTTTTTCTTCATGATTTCACATAGCAGTACCAAATGAACCCATCAAATAACTCTTTATCTTATTTTTATACTCAAATGGATATCACATTCAAAAACTAAATTATTATTTATTATGAAATAAAGAGTTATTAGGTTTTTGTCATCTTTTATTAATTCCTTAAATTTTTATTTTGTATGTACACACATTTTTACATTTCAAAATATGTCATAAATCTGTTTAGATCAGCTTTAAGAATCTCTGAAAAGAACATTTAAAGTTCATTTACTAAAATTTATCATGTTTGATTTCATGGTGTTATCTGTGGCTTATTGAAAAGGTTATTGTTTTAAGAAAGTAAAGTTTTATGTTTTAACAGGGTGATGATGATTACTTGGATAATGGCACAATGGTACGGACTGGCGGTGGAGAAGGTGGCGGTGGAGCAGCGGTTGACTCAGGGACAATGAAAGCACCTAATGGAGAAGGTAGGATGAAAAAACCATTTGTTCAGCATGATAGTGAGAATATGAAACAGCAATATCTAACAATGAAAGCAAAAATAAACTTGTACAAGTCCTGGCATGGCTTGCTTTTTACACTGTATTACACCTTTTTAGTTGCAAAGAAGATTTAAGCTATATATATATATATATATATATATATATATGTATCCACAGACTGTTTTACTGTATCACAGCTCTTCAGTATAGCTAGACATCCAATTACTTCAAGCCGGGATTGAAACACAACCTATTTGGCATATACACACACACACACACACACACACGCGCGCAATGATCCTCTAATGTATGAATGAAATATTAAATTAAATAAGGAAAACTATTTTGCAAATTCGCCTGTACCATACTTTGGAGATTTGATCACAAAATGTTTATTTTATATTTTCAAATTTGTTTAATAAAAAATGTCCATGAGTGTTTAAAACATTAAAAGAATATCAAGGGAGGTAATTGGGACTTATCAAAATAATGTCTGGCTAAATTTAATTATCTTTAGTACACTGAAAATTTAAAACAATATTTATTGAACATTTTCAAAACACTAAAATTATTATTAATAAATTGTAATTTTTAAGTGGTATGAAGGGAATTACGTGTATTTATTTTATAGTAAGGCTAATATAGTCAATTTTCCATTTAAACTTTAGTATACAATAAAAAACTATTATTTTTTTTTACTGTCACATAATCCAGTTTGTTTTTTTCCCTAAAAGGAATTTAAAATTTTCTACAGAAAAGTAATGTAACTGTCTTTTCTGTAAACCAGTGAAATGATTTAAAAATGGTAAATATTTTTAGTTCTATATGTTAAAAATGGTGAAAAATGAAAAAGAAACATTTTTTTTTTTTTTTTTGTCCACTCTTTTATTTTATTTTATTTTTTTTTTTCCCAGGAACTTTAGTGGAGAGTACAAGTGGGACTGTGATAGTGAACAGTGAGGCTAACACTTTAGTGGAGTCTGAACTGGGCACAATGGTCATCAATGAAGACACTGATGACGAAGAGAATTCAACTATGAAAAGTAAGTAACCAAAAAAAATAAATAAAAAAGCTTTTATCAATATTCGTTTTTCTTTGCCTAAGATATGTTGGTCTTAGTCTTTTACAGAAATTATTAATCTCCAAAATTAATTTTAAGAACATTATGAAATTTGCTATGTAGTCTTGACCAAGTAATGTCTTATTGGCCAGCCATCCTTATACATGAGAGTGGATCAATAATTCCATAGCCTCTAGATGAAAAAGTTTTTTTTTTTAACACTAACGTTGACCCAATTTAAGGCCCAAGAGCCACTCAAGGTAGAGAGTTGCTGTGTGGTGTTGTATGAACATAAGAAAGGGCATGAAGTGAAGTTCTTAGGGCTATGCAGGAAAGATAACGTCTGCCTCTAGACTTGGAAAGATTAAGATTTAATTACTGAATAACATTTTGGAGGTCAGTTGGAGACCTAAGAAGTACAGTGTGGAAGTAGACATTAGAAGGAACCGGAAACCAATCCTAAACAGGAAACAAGTGATAAGCTGCTACTCCTGTTCAAAAGACTGGGAAGGTGTGTAAACCAGACAACAGACGAATATGTAAAACTTCTTCATTGCTCTTGTAATATTAAATGGGGTAAAAAAAAAAAAAAGAAAGTTGTGGCTGATCCTTTGAAGTATAGTGCAGAAGTAGACTTTACTCAATAAATATTTATTTCTCAGCACTGACTTCTTCCCTGTCAACGTACTTGACCCAATACTTCATTAATCACATAGGTCAAACCTTATACAGGGAAAATTTCAGATCAAAATTCAGCTAATGCCTGTGTCATTCTCCAGACTTGTTGGTCACATGACTGAAATTTCCTGCATGCATACTCACAAAAAACCACATTATTGATTTTGACACTTGACCTTTTGTATGCCTATTGTAATTTTTTGGACAGTCTGTATTGATCTTTATTATCATTATACTAAATGGATATTGTTGCAGTAATGAAAGTTATAATTTTATGCCTCCTGTTACATTTGTCTCACAAACAATATTTGGCAGACTCATGTGAGTCCAGTTAAAAATAAAAAAAACCTGGAATTCAAACAAACAATAAATGTACTAACAAAATATAGTGTAAAATAAGAAACAAAGTTATGAAAAGTTTAAAGCAATCTTCAGTGTGTGACTCTGAAGTACTTGCATTGCCTCAAGTCTATCAAAGTGTAAAAAAAAAAAAAAAAAAAAAAGTTTTGTCACTGTGCAAGTCAAAAGAGGAATAGACTATCAAATCTTGTGATGCCTGTGATTATTGTCAGGAGGTGGTAAACCAACAATACCATGAAATTTTGCTTCTATATTGACTGAAAATATAGGGTAACCAAAAAAGTCCTTGTCATTTTTTTTTACATTGTGTGGGAAGCAATGATCACTATGATAGGCAAACAAGTGTGTCATATGCCAGAAAGCAGTGGGTGTGGGGGCATTGCTTTTGACCAATGCATGTGCACTGTGCACACACGTTGGTTGTAGCTCAAGCAGCATTGAGGAAACCTGATGGTGTTGAAGCAGCTTGTTCAGGATTATCTGCTTTATGACTTTATGGTGGGCTTGTCTGTAGCCGCATCAAATCACTCAATATATCAAGCCTTTGGTTAATGCACCACCAGGCATTGGTTCCAGAAGTTCTGATCAAAAGGTCTGTCTCTTTGGATGAACCCCACAGTGGACAGTCACAGGTCCTGGATGCAGCCATAAAAGAGGACAACAGTGAGTTTGCCTAATGCTTCCAGGTTTCTGACAAAACAGGCTTCACCTACACCACATAGGGAAGGCATACAAGTTGAGCAAGTGGGTGCCGCACCCCACACACTGTTGGAAGACAACAAGCAACAATGAGTGACATCCTGTTTCTTGTCACTGCAATATACCCATATTTAATTGAGTGCTCACCAGTGATGAAAAGTGGGTCCTGTATCCCACTTCTAAGCATGAGAGACATTGGTGAGTCTCATACCACAAGATCACCTCTACACCCATGCAAGATCTTGGTCTGTTTCTGATGGAGTAATCGACAAGTGGTGCATTATGAGCTGCTACCAATGGTCCAGACCATCACTGTGGACTTGTGCTTGCAGCAGTTGGAACATGTGCAACAGGCACTGAAGCAAAAGGATCCAGCATTGGTTAATTGCAAGGGTGTACTGTTCCTCCATGACAATGCCAGGCCTCATGTGGCCTGGATGGCCAGAGATACCATATGGTGACTTGGTTGGGAGACACTGTGCCATTCGCTTTACTCCCCAGACCTTGTGCCAACAGATTATCACCACCCTCATAGGTAGATACTCACAGACTTCTTTGCATCCAAAACAGATGATTTTTACCACTGGGGCATTGTGCAGCTGGAGGCACATTGACAAATGGTTCTGGATGCTGATGGGGATTACTTTGAGGACTAACAGTATGTCAAATTTGCTCTATACCTTCTTGTTTTTTTTTCCTAATCAAAAACAGCAAGGATATTTTTGGTTACCTTGTAGAAAAGTAACACAATGTCTTGAATTTAGATCTATTTCCTTTTTGAACTAGTATTGACTATTCTAAAGCAGTTTAGCACTTGGTGTAGAGTCTCAGCAAAAGCTTCAGTTTAGTGGTGTAAACTTTTGACCAAATCTGTAAGTAATGTTTTTGTAATAACTTGGTGTTTGGTTTTTACTGAAAGCAAATTTATTTGTGAAATGTTCTCTCTTGATTGAAATGTTTCATTATTATTCTTATGTGCTAAGATCATTTGTCAGATTTCAATGAAGAAAAGTTCCACATGCACCCTATATTTTTAGAAGACAAATATATTGGGACAAGTTAAATTGAAATTTTATTCTAATACAGAATTTTATTTTCCAGTAGTTATAAGACAAAACCATTAACTTAATGTCAGAATTTAAAAAAATCTTTTATTTTGAGATTTTCTTAGCTAAATAAAAGATGTATTAAAAAAATGTTAATTATTTACGATGTAATACTAATTTAAAAAATTTTAGCTTCCAAAAAAAATTAATGGACAAACATCCCCTATTTTTTTCTTTTTTTTTTTTTTTTTTTTTAATCATTTTACCCCAAGCAAAGCAATAAAGCTTCTAGGATGCAAGGAATTACTGAGTGTGAAAGAATATGAGAAAAAGAAAAACACTATTAAGGAGAGTGGACAATAAAAGAACAGGAATTAAGACATGATAACAATTGACATGTAATTTAAATTTTTGAATATCAAAGTTAACTGGAAAGCAAGAGTTCTACAAGCAAGAAGTGCAAGAGAAGAAACTGTCAGCATAGAACTGGTGGTTATATCTAGCCATTTCAACTGTAAAATAATGAAACCTAGTTGTCGATCAGTCAGTTAAGTGTTATACTTGATACATGCTTGGGTGATCATGTCTCTTTTGATTCATGGTTGACTAGGCAGAAAATTTTCCAGCAGCAAGTTGTTTCTTTCTGTAGTAGACTGGTTGCCAACCAAGGCTATAGGACCTGCTATTCAACCAATAGTTGGTGGAAGAAGAGATGAATTCATACTTTTCCCAAGGGTATTTGCATGTAAGTGGAGCTAACGCACCTAACTGGAATTTGAACTTGGCTCTCCAATTTCTCATTCCAAGCCACTATCAGTTTACCACAATGCACATCATAGTAACTGTGCTTAAATTTGTAAAGTCAAGGTACTAAAGAAGAAAGCTCATCAGAACAATTACCATGGAAATATTTACCGAAAAGGCACAGGAAAGCTATGTTACTATGGTGGGATAGTGACTGAAGCCAAGATGCCAGGTCAAAACTGACAACATTAAAGATTCTTCTTTGCAGTTTATCAAGAATCTCTAAATGCATGGAGGAATGATAGATTTATAAATGCATAAGATAGACGATTTTTCTTGCTAGAATCTATCATGACATAATGAATTAACTTTCCTAACAGCAGACCTAGTAATTGATTCTATATAATCTTTCCACTTTGTCAAATATTAACCCGAGTAAGTGCAATGAGTCACTCACCTGGAGTTCAGTCTGCATCAACATTATTTATTTGATATGACAACATAATGAGGGCCAAAGTTACACCAAATTTATTAATGTCTACTAATGTTTATATATTTTGGCACCTGTAGTTCCTAAAGTATTTTACTATCTTAAATTTTATATTGATTTGGTTTCTATTTTATTTTTTATTCATTCACAAAACAAATTTTATTTTAAATTCTCATTTATTTTTTGTGTGTGTATCTATTTTTCAGGCCATGACACTGCAACAGCAGGCAAGAATAAGTACCGTCCAGCATACCTTGATCACTTTGAAAAGAAAGAGCAGGAAGAGAAGGACAGGGTTAGCGGCCAGTTGAAATCTCAGAGGGAACAACAAAACCAGCAACAATCTCACAATGTGCCACAGAAGCAGGTTACCCCACCTCCTCATCGCTTCCAGCGCTCTTTCATCGATGGAGACTATGAATTTGTCAGTTATGTAAGCATACAAACTTGTGTTTACTTTGTTATTTCAAACTTTGTAAAATTTTAACTTTTACTGAAGGACTCATCTGAAAATTTATTATATTTCATTTCTTAGTTATTTGTGATCCAATATCAGATCTGTAATGACAAGCCATAAATAGCAAATCAGTGCAATATTTTGAAATTATATTTTGTATAATTATACATTATATATAAATTATACATATACTTTGTTTTGATACATTCCTTTATGTACAAATACCTTTGGTAAAAAGTATGGATCCATTTGTACCCTCTAGCTATGGATTAAATAGCAGGACTTGTATCTGAAAGAATTGTTAATACAATATTCTCTTACAAAAAAAGAGATTCTTTTAATTGAAAATATTTTTTGTCTTTAAATAACCCATTATAAATAAAGGGTTGATAAGCTGTAAAAACAAAAACAAATCAATCAACTTTTTGTTCTCTATTCAAAACAGCTAAGAAGATGGTGTTGTTTGAACAGTATTTTTTGTTCACTTTTCTATTATACTGCTGTTATTTTAGCTCACTTGAAAGCTAATCATGTTTTTAGGTATGTCATCAGAATGAGGCTAAGTAAGACTTCTGTAATAAAAAACTATACTTTGCACTACATGATACATGAATTGTTTGTAACACTAAACTATGAAAGAGCAATAATAGGATGGAAATTGAAATAAAAATTTAAATCTAACCTCTTCTCCCAACCTAAGAAAGAGTGAATATTTTTCACTTTTCATTTTTTTTGTTTTTTTGTTGTTTTTTTTCAGCTGCGTACACTTCCTTATGAAGAACTTGAACTTCGACTGTTGAGCCTGGACCCAGAGATGGAGCGTGAAATTGAAGAGCTTCGAGCTCGTTACCAAGCAAAGCGGCAACCTATTCTAGAAGCAATTGATGCTAAAAAGAAGAGACAACAAAAGTTTTAAATAAAGAGGGAGGGGGGAAAATTTATATCAGAAACATGACATGTAAAAGGGCAACAAAGAACCATCTATAACAAAGCAATTTGTGCCACAACTGCCATCTTTATCCCTATTTTTTTTTTCTACTGATACCATTCAACCTTCTTATTTCCTTTAATTTCTTCAATATTAATGCATCATAAGATGGCATCTTGTTCATAAAAACACGATAATTCTCGGTTGGCCATTTGTTTTAGTTTGGACTATGGGGCAGGTATAACCTGTGTTGCTTTTTATTTTATTTTTTTTATTTTTTTTTATTTTTTTTTATTTTTTTCCTCCCTCTTTATTTTCATTCATTGCCTACAAAAGAAAAATATCTCTACAAAAGAAGAAAAAAATTAGGAATAAAAAAAACAAAAAAAAAACATAAACAATATATTTTAAGTAGTGTCATTAAAAAAATGTTCTCAAGCATTAATTTAGGTTGGAATTATTTATATATCTAGAGTTTTTTCTTCTTCTTTCCTTCAGTTTAAATGTAATGGCTTATGTGTGAGCTAGCTAGCAATTATTTATTATTAGAAGATCCTTAAAAAAAAAAACCCAATTTACATATAATGACTTACTATTTGGAAGTAAGATTGATGAAATGATAATAATATTTTGCCACAGTTATGTAAATAATTCTATTTAAAAAAAAAAAAAAAAAAAAATTTTTTCTTTTAAAACTTGTGATGCCCTGAAAAAAATGTACATTTTAAAAGAATAGAAAGTTTTGAAAAGAAAAAAGTGATAGGCATAATTAAAAGTAAAAAAAAAAAAAAAATAAATAATATTTAGTAGGATTAATTAAGCTGGGAAAGCATAATACCACCAAATTTAAGTTCCCATCGACAGACCTTCCTGGGGAGGAGGGGAAATTTGATTGTCATGAAAATTGCAGCAGCTTGTTATCAACCTCATATGCCATTACTGTAAAATATTTAAAGCTTTAAAATCAAGATTGCTTTCATTTGAATTAACTTCCATTCTTTCTTTAGAACTTATTAATCCATTAACTGCAATTGATGCAGAGAATTGTAATGAGGGAAATTCTCATTATGCTCAACAAATGGGTTAAAAATACTGCTGCTGAAGCCAAAGATAGGACTAGAACCTCTTCCATCACATCCACATATGTAGAAAATAATAATAAACTTTAAACAAAATCAAATGCATACACATATGCGCACAAAAGATGAATCTATTTTCTACCCCCCCTTTTATTTTTTTTTTTTCAAATACATTTTTAAAAACATTTTTAAATTTAATTTTGGCATTTATTTAGTTTTTAACAGTTTAAGATTGGGTGGGTATTAGAGCTTACCTATGGGATCCTGGGCAAGTTTTTTTTTTTTTTTTATTATACATCTCTGTTTGCCAATGTTAGTTATCTGTAATTTATCCTCATGGTTTCATCTTAGAGAATTAAATTTTATACAGAACTTTTTTTTTTATATTATTTATTTGTTTATTTTTTTTTTTTTATAGATCTTTGGGGTTTCTATTTTTGAGGTGAGAAGTTTTAAAAATTCTCAATTTCTTCAGATTGGTTCATCAGTGTTTAATTTTAGTTGGTCATTTTGTACTGACTGAAATGGTATTATATTTTATAAGAAAATGATTGTGACCAATATGAAGAAAGTTCATGGATTTTTTTGATTTTTTTTTTTTTTTTTTTTTAAACAGGTCAATAAAAAGGGAGTAATGAACCCTGTCAGAAATCTGTGCCCAACCGAATGTACTTCACTACAAAATTTTCTCTTAAAATATCAATAAAATATCCTACATATTTTGTTTGGCATATTTAAAGAAAAGCAGTACTTTACAAAGCTGTCGGTTCTTATGTATACCTGACTTAAAATTTATACCTACCTACATGACAAATGTTGGAATTCTCTGGAATTCTTCTATCTTGACATCTAGAAAGCAGTAAATGGGATCCATAAGCGGTTTACTTATTATTTTATTACCATCACTAATTACACTTAAGAAATTCTGCAAAGATAAATGTGGTTTTGACACATTTGATGATTAGTCAATAAAGCCAGCTCATTTCGATATATTTCAGATGACTTTTCACTTGATGATGGTATCCAATTCTATAGACTTTTTTATAATATCTATTATTCAAAGCCATGAGGCCTGACATGTTTAATGTGGTTTCTTTCTCTAGTGTTGCTTTTTGAATTTAGGGATTGACCTGAAAAAGCCTTTGGGTAAATCTTCTAATCACTAACTTATCACTTTCAAATGATGCTGCTATAGTTGGGCCTACAGACTTTGATGGCCTTTTTTCTTTTCTTTTTTTTTTAATTCTTCTCACCTTTTAATATAAACATGTAAATAGTATTTAAACTTTAAATTGTTATTATAAAATGATTTATTCATCAAAGTTTCCTCATGTTGGTTGTTAATATCATTAAATGTTCAGCTGTGTTACCCTTTGGCCTTGGGAATTTTGAACTGAACACTTTATTCAGCCAACAAGGTAGAATTTTCTCTGTTCATACTGAAACATGATTATAACAACCAAGACAAGGGCATTAATTCAAGTAAATCAGTTTATAATAATGATAGTTTTTCATATAAAGAAAAATTTAAATGATTATATTTCTGTTTATAGATTACTATAGATTGGCTGAAAACTCCCAACACACACACATGCACACATTTTTAATATTTTTGTTTCAATGCGGGTATACATTTTGAAAGAATCAGACAACCTTGCCTTCACAGAATGCATTTGCGTTATTTTCAATAATATTAATATCAATTTGGAATTTGAGCTGTCTAACCTTTGCTAGGAATTCATCTTAGGTGCAGTTCATGTAAATATATCAACTTGATCTATATTAGACAGGTTGTTGGCCCAACAATTGTCTAAGCTTTAGAAGTAAGGTCTTCCACTCCCCCATACATTATCCTCCCTCTACGTTTTTTTTTTTTTACATCTTCAAAATACAGATTGGGTCATTGACCCCAACATTATTTCCCTCTCTCTATCTCTCTCCTTTTTTTTTTTTTTTTTCCCCCTTTTTCTTTTCACCTTTGTTAGGTGGAAGAGCAGTTAAAAGAGCAATCATTATAAAAAACAAAAAAAGAACAAAAAAAATTTACTTGGCAATGGACATTTATAAAATCTTTCTCTGGACACTTTTTTTTTTTTTTTATCTTGTTAGGAAATTATTTGTCCTGCCATGATCTTTGTAATAATGATTAATAAAAACAAAACAAAAACAATGTTGTGGTTTCTATTAGAAAATGTTTCATCTTATGATTGTTTCATACAGCCCTGGATATTTTGTATAGAAATATACATATGTATGAATCCTTAATTGGTTTCAATTAAAACCATTAAATGGCCCCATTAAGAATATATTATTAAATGAATGGCCTCATTAAAACCATCATTAACAATGTTTATTTAATGTTAGCATGCTTGTAAAAGTACAGAAAGAACTAATCACTGATTGAATTGATAAAAATTAGTTTCTGTTAGATTCTAGAAATTTACAAATTTTAAATGTCTATCTTGATTAACTTATTGTATCAGAAGACTAGAACAGGAGTCTCAAACACGCTGCCCACAAGCCACTTTTTTGTGGACCCTGGGCAACCATTTTCATTATCAATATTTTCCTCAAAATTTAATAAATTTGTCTCATACCCTCTCCATAATTTTACAGTAACAGTATTGAATTAGACTTACCCACCAAGTGGCAATAGTCAGTCAATTTAAAGGTCAGTTCTAGTTCCTCTACAGAGTAGGGAAGAAATTCTGATGCTGAAAGACATGTTCTGCATTAATCTTTAGCACTCTGCATTATTAATATTACTTCCCTTTCCACTGCATTCTTTTTCAAGGCCTCTCTCAATTGCAGTATCCTTATTGTTAATTTCTTTTAAAGTTGTTTTCTGTTGCCATAGAAGAATATGACATTTATGAAATTCAAACACACTATTGTTCAGGGATCAGTCACATTCTGTGGCAGGATAAACTTTTTGTACAGCAAAAGAAGTTACATACAGAGTGATAAAGGTTAACTGATGTGGAACATTATTTTACCTTGCCTTGCGTTTTGACAATTGATTTTTTTTTTTTTTTTTTAAGATGTACTTAATAAACGCAATTGGCTGAAACACATGCAAAATCTTGCCCCTCTTTCTCTCTCTCACTTTTACAATTCCTATCACTCAAAAATACCAAACATTTAATTTAGCATCTGTCTATATTTCTGAGTTGAGGTATTATGTACACTATTTACATTATTCGGACTATTGCCCTCATCTTTGGCGCCATATTTATTACAATGTTTCGGCTGTTGTATGCTCCAGCCTTCTTCAGGTGGTTGGAATGTCGAACTGAACCCTTTATTTCGCGCACTGGGGTAAACTGTTCTAGTTCCACGTGCCATGTCTAATGGACATCAGTTACCAGGTATCTCCTCAAGAACACATGTCGCAGTGTTAGATCCAGTGTCAGGACCCAAAGAGTGAGTTCAGTACCTAGTTATGGTGGTGGAGAACTTCAAGAGGGAATTAAGCAGGAGATAACTGACATCCATTAGACATAGCACGTGGAACTAGAACAGTCTACCCCAGTGAGCGAAATAAAGAGTTCAGTTCGACATTCCAACCACCTGAGGAAGGTCAGAGCATACAACGGCCGAAACGTTGTAATAAATATGGCGACAAAGGTGAGGACAATAGTCCGAATAATGCAAATAGTGTATTTAATTTAGCTTTGTGGGTCTGTGAATCCCGGGTTGGGAACCTCTCCATAATGGTTGAGAAGTTAATACCCATCCTTTTAGTAATATGCTGGTGACTGTCATGCTGCGCACCTCTCTCAACAGATAATGCCCCCCTTTTGTGTCCTTGAGTTTTGAGATCCCTTCTCTAGAATTTAGTATATGGTCAATTTTAACATTAAAGAAATAACTGAAGCAAACTCTAATTTGAAATTATTAAAATTATTC